GATCTGAGTCTCCGGCCAAAGATACGCAGACCTGGCGCGGGAGAATGGTGGCCAGTCGATAATTGAATAGCCCGAGACGACCAAAGTTCCTATACTGGATGGATAATGACCCTGTGCTTCGGGCCCCCAGTGACAAGAGCTCATTATATTGAGTAAGACATCTGAGTAAGGCAAAGGCTCCATCCCAGATCCGTGACAATCTCGGTGCGACCACTGTTGAGATTGTTCGTCGTCGCTGGAATGTAATCGACAGAGTTCCAGTGGCAAAGGCTCGATGTACGGGTCCATATTTTGCAACTCGATTGCTGAAGAAAGTCATTAATGAACATAATAAATTGGATGGAGATTCATGATAAACAGTCACTGCATCAGTCGGCTGCATGTGGTGATGTCGACCGGTAGGAACAAGACACGGTTCCTACCAGTGGATTTGGGAGAGAAAATGGGGGTTGTCGGAGCTGGGTTGTCCTGCCTCTTGCACAGAGAGGACTTGGGGGAAAGATAAGAGCTCGGCGGGTGGATGACCTATGAATAGATTGGTTTGAGCGACAAGACATCAGAGGCTCCAGTTCCAGCATAAGTACGCTAGTAAATGCCGAAGTTGCGGAGAAATATCTTGGTGAACATCCAGTCAGCATGCGGGTCACACATGTCAAGTAGCGAGAAGGACATTTGCGGTGAGGAGAACCTCCTCGCTACATGTAGCAAACGCCACCTGGGCCATTTGACATGCTTGGGGAACCCCCAGGATCCTGTAGGGCGAGGATGACTTGCAAGGTTGTCATGATTGGACCGCGGAAGAGACAGCCACCTCTACATGGCGCGGTGGCCGAAAGAAAAGAAATTCTAACGGCCAGCTCATCCAGCTCCTGCATATCGTCATAAGCAAGTAACATCTCTCAGTACCAAAAACTCGCTAATCTCTGCTACCTTGTTGAGATCTTGATTCTGAACAGGGGCACTTATTGGCCAAAATCTGTGTAAGACAGCGGGAGCACGAGCTAACGCAAGCTCGAGTTGCTCAAGTTTCTGTGGTAGTCCTCGGGCGGGGGTAGGCATAGCACGTCCAAAGGCTTTTACTGTTTAACGACCTAACATATATAATAAAGACAGGGACCACTCCATAATCCTATAGCGGCTATTACATATTCAACACGAAAACTCAAAGATTTTTCAATAAAAACAAAGATAAAAACAAATTATATTATAATAGAAGAGGATTTTATCTTGAATATCATAATAAATTCTCAAATATTAAATAGTTATGCTTTATTGATTATTATACTCTCAACCTAAATGCAATCTTTTTATTATAGTTATATAATAATATTACTACCAGTTTTTTATAATGAGAGAACCATTGAGGCCGTCTCAATTACATCTCTACAAATACACTACGAGGGCGGTCATCATCTCTCGCGTTATTGATTATCAATATATTGTCTTACCACTACACTAGGCTATACACAAGTCTTCATTGGTATAAAAGCCATTCCATTTGGAGTGCTAAGCGGAAGTTTCCTCCTCCAAAGGCTTTCGGCCATAGATAACGTATCCATTCCAGTACGCATGTATACGTGTGTCTGCCAATTCCTTTCTCACTTGAGCGCAGAGTATCAATGCCTCTTCCTTGGACCAATCCATATAACGGGTGAGAAGTGCAAGAGTCAGGCCCTCCAAGCCGCCCGAGAGCATGGAGCGATTCCAGTCACCAAGCTCCTTCAGCTTCTTGTCTTTGGGCCACCCTGTGGACGGGAATTTGAACGGAACCCTCTTCACGTCCTCAAATCCTGTCTCCTCCATCTTTCCAACCAACTGAACCGTCTCCTTGTCAACGGGACGACCAATCTTAGTGCAGGCCTCGACCAAAAGATCGCCCCATTGGTCCATGGCGGTGCCTTTCATCGTATCATCATCAGCGACCGGGGGCCAGTGGCTATCTTGAATCTCCAAGTAGCCGCCGGGCTCGAGGTGATCGTACGCCTGCTTGATGATGTTGTTCCAATCCGAAAAGCTCGCATTCATGTTTCGGCAGAGGATAAAGTCAAAGGGATTGGTCCAGGTCCACTCCTTTTCCAAGTCGTCTACCTCGAAGCTGCAGTTGGGGGGAACGAACCCGGGCTGGATAGGACTGAGGTCAACGCCGAGGACTGTGGCCTCCGGGAAAGTCTCGGCGTAGTCGAGGGCCCAGGTGCCCGTACCGGTTCCGATGTCGAGGACTCTCTTGGCCTTGGTGCCGTCGTTCTTGGGGCACAGGCAGAAGGCATTGTCGAGCGCCAGCATCCAGATGTGATTGACAATGTCAAGACGATCTTGCTCGCGCTCGTCATTCGGGAAGACGTACTTTCCATCGCTCATGCGATGGTACGTCCGTCCGTTCTCACGGCGGTAATCCAGAATGCTCGATCTCAGCGATGCGCTGGATTCGTCTGTTGAGACACCCCCGATGGAGGAGGCGTCGTCGATTCCAGAGTCATCGGCCTCAATAGGTGGCTGATCTTCATTTTGTTGCATCTTTGATAGCTCGTTGGTCTTGTGAACGTCTTAACTAGAAGTTGGGGGCTGCTGCTTTGGTTTATGGGATGAACGGATATGGGCGTGATGCTGTTCTGGAGAAGATCGCCTTACTTTACCCCTCTTTTTCGACAGAGCCCCCGACTTTGAACAGTTTCTCCGCTTTTTCGGTCACATTTCCGTTGGCTGGGAAGATAACAACTGTTCAAGTTTGCTCTGTTGGTTGGAAGTTCCAACTCCCAACTTCCAAGTTGGGATCCCAGCCCTGGCCAATTAGCGAGGGTACCGTAACCTCGGCTCGGATATAGGGCAGGATCTTCCAACCTTGCCAAGACACAGGACATAGAGTGAGTTGATCAAACTCACATGGTAAAAGCAGATTAACAGATCTACTACAAGATAATGAAAGGCGTCCCTGTTATTGCATCAAACATTCTGGCTGACCCACTGAATGTGAACTACACAATTGCACAGACCAGGTTGAAGATGTGAGCTATCTCTCCATAATGGAAAGCCAGAGGCCCACCTTCAGTGCCTGCAGAGTTCAATTCGTCTTTTCCTAACCACTATGTATCTGGTCGACAATGGATCTTGAGCGGGAGGCAACACTCTTATTGCTAATTTACAGGAATAGTGTTAGTTGGGTCTAGGTATTTCGAGGGAACATTGGTTTCAGCTCAACATTCCATGTAACCAAGAGAGGCTTCAGCAAGGCCATAAAACGACATTCAGGAAATTCATATCTTAGCGATATTGACTTCACTGGTAACACAATTAATTAGTGCTCCAGCAAAAGCCTATCTATGATGTGCAAGAATTGCGGCAATACCTTCAATCTAGTCGAGACTAGCCAATTCAACATTCAACTCAAGTCGCTACTAAACGTGAGATCCAAAGAAGCATTCGACCTCACTACCTGAGAGTGTTCCGACATGTTGTTGGCAATCTAACACTTAGGGAAAACACATGCTAAAATGACTGGCTGAGAAAAGACGTAAAATTGCGGCATGGCGCCTTGGCAAGGCACTTTTTCAGGGCAACACAGCTCAGCTGGTTCGAATCAGCCGCACACTAGCGCTCTTTCGCAGAACATGAAAGCGACGAGGGTAACCTTACATGAACAGACAATTGCGAATTCGTGATACATATGATGGAAACATAGAACCATAAAAAGACCGATCGAAGGTGGTTGCACGAGCCCGACCAATAATAGATCTTGGACCAAACATGGACCATACTTCGATCCCAAGTCGCCTGTAAGTCCATCCAGCACCCTCCTCATCAATCAGTCCTCTCATAGAGCCACTGCTGAAGAACAGATAGAGGCATATTCCGTCTCAAGGAAGCCGACACCAAAACAGGACTCTTTTCGCGACTCGGCAAAAAGTACATATTCGCAGTGGCTGAGAAATATCCTCTGAATTTAGACGACGCCTTTGTCCTCGTCTATTTCCCACTGATACCATACGGTTCAAGCGATGCCATAATCTTTATACGAAGTGAATCCGACAGGGGCTTTCGCAGATATGCTGCGGTTGTCGCAAGGGGCGATCCGCAGTTCGAGATTGAGATGCGGCATTATCCGGCTGTAGGGGCGACTGGTCAGTACTCTGGAACTCAGGGCTCGGTCTCTGAGAGGTAGTGCTAGACGTGAATGGATCCCAGTTCCTAATGATCAAGGAACACAGCCCACTTTCACTCACTTGTGGACGTAATCTCCCAACGCCAAGACAAAAAGACAATCGACACAGTCAAAATCGGTCTCAAGTTCCGGCGAAGTTGGGTCGGATCGCCAGAGTACACGGAGTGGAAAGAAGAGGCCGGAACTCCCGTAAAGTACAGGACTGAAGATGTAAGTCTTCTTGCATCTCATGAGTTTCAACTATCTCCAAAAATGAAGCAAGATTGTTGACGTCTGGAGCAATGTAGTTCAAAGTATGGGACGACACCAACGCGCAGGTCGTGATGCTGTTTCATCACTTCAACCGAGCCAAGAAAGTACGTCGGGAAACCGTTTTCGACAGTTGAATGGCCAGTGAAAGGCTAACTACTCATTCAAATCCAGCCCTCGGGGGCCAGATTCTCCATAGACTTGGTGCAGAAAAGCAGCGATTCGAACGAGTATCTCATCTACCAGGAGCACGTGCTTCCGGTTCTCGCCAAGGCCACGATGCATGCTCTCTTGGCTTGGAAATATTGGACGCATGATCTGCAGGAAGCATCACCGATCCGGAGAGACGAAGAAAAAGCTACTTGATGTCGTTGGCCGCGACTCGGAGGTCGCTGCGGGAGGTCGTTTGGAAGTAGACATTTGCTATCGACAACGTAAAGGGTAGCAACCACAATCATTCTTCTCTTGCTCCTTCTTCGACGCGAGCGATCAGCTCCTTGATCCCGCTCACCTTTTCGTAGTGAATCTCTTCCGCCGCCATCCCACGCTGCCCATCCCGTCTGCGGTCAAACAAAGTTGGCAGGATACCGGGTCCATGGAATCGATGAGAGCCGTGTTCTCTCTAGTGGCTCTCCGCGACCCAGCTGAAATCCTGCCTCTGAGCGTTCCACTCGATCGCCGCCGTCGTAGGTTCGCCATTGTCGAAGTGAAGCCCTTTGGTACCTTTGACCCTTTTGTCAGCGACTTGCGCAAGGTAGAGGAGGACAAGAAGAAAAACGATACCATTAAAAACAACCACGACCAGGGTACCTCGATTATCAGCCCCGACATCTCGCGCTTCGAGCCCACCACCCAGAAATGGCTGAAGCATATCGCAGACACCTGCCTCAGCCTCCGAATTAACCACGCCGCTGTCACCGACCACGTCCGCCTCATCATGCTCGTGTTCCCCGCGATGAACATCAGCCAAGACTCCTCTTCTGCCCCTGGTCAGCTTCTCCCCCCCCGGGGCCCACGGAGGTACCTTTTCGGCTTCCATTGTCAGAAGAAGCAGAGAGAAGCCTGTGGCCCACGCAGGATGGCTGAGAGCTGCGGCGCGGGATACGCCTTTTGACGTTTGAGAAAATGGCAAGCTTAGGGTCTTGGTGTGAGTACTATCTATGGGATAGGCGGCGCGAGCCTGTGTTTCTCTCTCTTCGCTACTGACTGACTATTCCGTGAGGTAGATGACCGGGTTTTATTCTACCGACGAGAAAGCCAAGGATCGATACAGAAGGGGAATCAGAATGGGTGACAGGGAAGGGCAAAGAGGCAGAGCGGAGAGAGCTGGAGCGGACAAGACGAAGCTGGGGAGGGGCATTGAGGGCAAAATGACGTCCGCGGACTGACAGATTGACGACAGACCCCCCGAGACCTCATCCAGACCGAATCAGATCAGCATAGACAGATCCATAAAATGGAATCACCCTGGATCTGAGAAAACTGCTCAAAGATGGAACATCTGCCGTGTCCATTTTTCTCTACAACAAGGGTCCATCAAGGTCCCCTGGCGACCGCAGCCATCAGACAGTTATGCCAGAAGATGGCATTCCAAACTTCACAGGACAATCGTTGAAGAATAGTGTCTGATGATCATCATATCTCATGAAACTTCTACCATCATAAGTCATAAATACCCCGTCTAAATCGTACACTCCACGAACAAATACAGGAGGCCCCGCCTACGTCCTTTCCTTATGCTCCCCAAACGCCATCTCTTCATCCTCACCTCCCTTCTTCATCTTCTCCACAGCTCCTCTCCGCCTCAACATATCCTCTTCCTCCCCACCGGGCACACCGCCTCGACTGTTCCGCTTCATAATCGCCTCTTCCTCCTGCGCGATGTACTTCATCGGCCTCTTTGAGCTCGTGGCGTCCTTATCGCGGAAGACGAAAATATCGTGGTTGTCTGCGAAGAAGCGGTCCACATCCTCGAGGGAGCGGTCTGCTGTTTCGGGGTAGAAGAGGTAGACGATGGGGATGAAGGAGAAGTTGAAGACTGTCCAGATGATGTAGAATTGCCAGCCGAGGGCGGAGATGCCTGGTGGTGTGATTTCGACAACCTGTTGGGAGATTTGTTAGGATCTGGGTCATATTGTTTACATTGTAGGGGAGGGATGAGGAGGAGACGTACCATGAAGTTGACGATCCAGTTTGTTGCGGTACCGAGAGCGGCTCCCTTTGTACGCATGGACAAGCTGTTGATTTCGGTGGGGTACAACCAAGGCACACCTATATTGGATTAGCGCATGTTCACCCAAAGACTCAGAGAAGGATCTCACGTACCCTGCCAGCAAATGCCAAAGAAGACATAGTACAAGAAGAAGAAGGCGATAGAGGCCTTTGCCCATTGGGATTGGGTCTCTGGTGCCAGGCCAGCCATCTCATTATAACGAATACAGATGGTAATAACGGCGTAGCACATGAATTGGCCAAAGGCACCGTCTGTTTACAACAATTAGCTGTCCTGTGCGTATTCATCGGACCTGGATTCGACGTTTCCACAACTTACACATCATCATTTTTCGCCTTCCCCATCTCTCCACGTTGGGGATTCCAATCAAGCTGAACAAGAAGTAGCTGACAGAGTTACACGCTGCCAATAATCTCGCAAGTTTATTGTCCAAACCGACGGAATTGATGAGAACGAGGGGCAAGTAATATGATGTCACGTTTATTCCGCTGAATTGTTGCATGGCCTGTGTTCCACACCCCAGGAATATACGCCGGATGGTGGACGTTCCCGCTGACTCGCCGGTCCGGCCTCGGAGGAGGTCCGACCAGGGGACGGTGTTCTCTCTTTCGTAGTTGATCGCCCACTGGATGTCCTTTGACTGGGTCTGGATGTAGGCATCGTCAACAGGCATGTCTTCAAGGTCGGCGAGGATCTGCTCGGCTTCGGGGACGCGGCCTTGTGCCATGAGCCAGCTGGGGTTATTATCAGTCATAGGAGTCCGGTGGGGGAGGGTATTGGGGACAGAGAAGGGGACGTACCGAGGTGACTCAGGTAACCAGGGGACGGTGCCGTAGAGGATGAAGATGAAGAAGAACTGGAAGGCCAGGGGAACGCGCCATGAAATGGAGCCGGTGAGGTATGAGAAGCCAAATGTGACCCAATTACCTGCTCGTCGTTAGTGTCTGGCACCGAAGAACGAGGCCCTGGAGAAACCCAGCCAGGGAAAGGAAGACGAGGAAGACATACTCAGCGAGAACCCAAAGATGTTCATAATCATCTCAATGACAATCAGCTTGCCTCTCCAACTCGCCTTACTAGTCTCGCCCTGCCACACGGGCGCGGTACTGGTATTGATACCGTTTCCGATACCCGCCACGACGCGGCCGACAAACATTTGCGGGAGGCCGAAAGCGGCGGTCTGCAGGATGGCGCCGATGGACATGATTGTGGTACCAACGAGAATGGTGTTCTTGCGGCCGAGGCGCTCACCGATCCATATTGTGGAAATTGCGCCGAGGAAGCAGCCAATGTCGTAGATTGCGGTGACGGTGGACTGGAGCTTGTCGTTGCCGACGATGCCCATTGTTTGGAGGAAATCGTCTGTTACGATGACGCCGCCGAAGACGCCTTGGTCATAGCTAGTGAATTGTTAGATTGGAGATCCTAAGAGCGGAAGGTTGGAAGACGAGGCTCTGGGGGAGGAGTTTGAGGGTGAAAAGACTTGGTGAGTGATGGAGTGTGAGTTGAGGCGAAGAGGAAGGAAGGAAGGAGCAGACGTACCCGAAGAGTGTCATGTCTGTCGCGCAGGCGATGGTGACCCAAAAGGTGAGCCACCCGCCCTTCAAGCCAAACCAACCCATGATGAAAGGCTCAGTCTGAGAGATCGATCAAGTTGTGTGTTGCCGTCAATTGGTAAGAGTGGTTGGAGTGGATGAAAGGGAAGGTGAAAAAAAAAAAAGGTGAAGAGCAAATGGCGAGTGCGGACCGAGCGTTGAAGAATTAGTGCTGGAAACCGTGCTGTATATTCCTAATTCCGATGAATACCAGAAAGACCCTGGACTAGACTAGACCAACAAACATTTGCCTTGGACTACAATCGTTTGGGAAAGCGGCAACAGACGTAGTCTATATAGAAAGCCAAGAAAGGGAATTACATACGTTCGCTTCCTCTAACTAGCGGCATCATCGCTCCTGTGATGGGGACCCAGTCAATTAGTCCCGAACCAACATGGGGCCGGGGCACGCCAGCCAACCCCAGACAAGCTCTGCCAGCAACAAGGCGTCGCCGCTAAATCTATCGCGGCTACCTGCCCGGAGGTACTCCTAGTGTGCCCGTCGCCAGTCTGTGGGGTAATGGGTAACGGATCGAGTGGTGGTGGTGGGAAAGGCGACTGACTAGTGTGGATAACAAAACGATGTCATCGTCATGGTGCAGCGGCGTTAGTGACCTGCGTCCCAGGGATCTCGGGTATCGGTACTACCTTACGGCTGCCAAGGTAGAACATGCAGCTTCAGCAGCAGCAACGCAGGAAACCAAGGCCAAGACCCATGGTTGGTCCCAGGGAGCGATGGCCGCTCGCTGGTATCGATGCTGATTAGGCCGGGCCGACTCGAACGATGGCAATGGATGGATGGATGGCGGGGAATCAGTCAGCCCCAATGCATCAAAGACAGACTCGAGGTCAGTGGTCCATTGGCCACAGGTGGGAGCAGGGATACTGAGAGTTTCGGGGTTGAGCCCGGCCGGCTGTGTGTGAACTGTGTTTTTTGTGTGCCTGTTTCTCTTGTCTCTGCTCTCACTGGTCGGAGGGATGACATGATGGTTCGGCCAAACCGTGGCTGTCCACGACGCGAACTGAGTCAAGAGTCGCACCAAAGCATGGCAGCAGGGGAAAAGATGGAAAAGAATGGAGATGGAATCTGCACCCCGCATACTTGATCACCGCTACGTACCCACGTTCTCCTTCGCAGTAGGTACATGACCTGGGAGGTAAGGCAAGGCGAGAAGGCGCGCTGTTGACGTTGACGTTTGACGTTGGCGAAGGGGCAGCGATGACGTCGCTTGGTGAGGACTCCACCCGCGGCTCTGAAACGGGCGAGGCGTGCCGGGGCCATCGCTGTAGTCGAAGCTTAATTCTGTCGATCCGTGGCGTCTTAGGCGTCCTCCTCTCGGCGGTCAGCGCCGCGAGTACGTACCTGCCTTACGTGAAGGTACCCTAGCCAAAGAAGTACCTTATCTTTCACAACTTGGATCCTTGACAGGACAAAGTCAGGACAGTAAGGAATCAAGACTGTGGTTTGTTTCTACCTGGCTCGTCGGTTGGGTTGTGCGGGAACGCTGAACAATGAGAATGCGGAACAAACAACCTGGTCGAATTCTCCAATTTATCCGACGATAGAACGAGGCGGGCATAATCCACAAAAAAACGACGACTCACTGCATCTCCCACCCCGAATCTTGCATTGCTCAACCCCCATTGAAAAGTCCCGTCCCGGAGAGGCTCATGGGGCCCGATCGGACCGAATAGCAAAGCCCACAGCAGACGATGCAATCGTCACACTATCACGATGCGGGGACTCCACGTTGGCCGCTTTTTTTTGCCTCGTCTCCATTTCCATTTACAGATAGACACCTTCTTTCCTCTCCTCTTGTCAGTCTGATGTAATCTCTTCCCCTTTCCAAAGGCCCCCACCGTAGTGCCATTGCAACGACGTCTCATTCCATACACATACAAACTCCTAGGTGTCTAAACATCGGTGCTAACCTCCTCCACATAAAGTAGCTGTCAACTCGACTTGGTGGAAAAGGAGGCTCTGCGGAGGAGGGAACATGGCTGCTTCCGCGGCCGTTGGCTCGGAGAGTCTCCGGCCCCTCGGACGTTGAAGTCGCAACCCGTTCCCTCCCTTGCCCCTCACTCGACACGCCGCGCCAGGTACCGGCGCGCTTGCGGCTACGGCCTTCATCAATTCGATTCGGTTGAGCCGCCGAGCGTAAGGCCGAGCAATGCAGTACACTGTTGAGTGGTTTCATTCAAACCGCCTTCTCGCCAAGACAATGTGTAACGACTCCGCTGAATTCGATTCTGCACTTTGTTGTAGAGCGGAGTGATTTATCCTCGTCTTCCCAAACTCCCGGCTTTGTCTCAACAACTCCCTTTTCTTTTCTTCTTGACACCTAACCCATTACGATTACTCCTGGCCATCTTCACACTCTTCCCAACCCTATCGGTATACAGACCCCGCCATTACATCGACAAAAACTCCTCCACGCACTCCGCCGGACCGATAAACCCAACATACCCATCCGGCCTCACAACCACCATCCCGGCCCCCTTTTCGAACCCGTACCGCTTGTGCAGCACCCCGTCCACGTCCTTGTAGCCCCCTTTTCCCACCGTCTCACCGGCGTAGATCTTGATGACACCGTACTCCTTGAACCTTCCATCTGTGACAATCTTCTCCTCCGCCTTGTCCAAATTCTCCTCGTCGTCCGCCGCACCGCCCGCAAACAGGAAAATCGTGTGGTCCCGCGCGCTCGTCATCCCAAGCAACCACTTGCCCTTTTCGCCCCTCTCGTCCGTGATTTGCCCGTCCGGCGCCCGCCAGCCGCCCCTGACAGGCCCTTCGAAGCCGACTGCCGTGCCGACAATGGAGCTGTTGCGGTACTTGATGGCCATTTGCGAGATAAAGGTGTACAGCGACAGGCGTCGCGCCTTATTGCTCCAAATCCGGGGTACGATCCACGGCATCAAACAATTCCGCACCGTCGTGAAGATTGTGTTTTGCGACGACACCATGGTGAACATGCGATCCGTGCCCGTGAGGAGATGTTGCCCGACAGGGTGTCGCTCCTCGTTGTATGTGTCCAGGAACGCCTCCTCCTTCTCGCCGCGGATCACCGCCGCGAGTTTCCAGCCTAGGTTGATGGCGTCCTGGATGCCGGTGTTCATACCCTGGCCGCCCGCAGGAGAATGGATATGCGCCGCATCGCCGGCCATGAATAGCCGTCCGTCGCGATAGTTATTGACACCACGGCAGTTCCAGCGGAAGCTCGTCAGCCACAGCGTCTCCTCAATCTCCAACTTCTTCCCCATCATCTCTTCTACGAACTCTTCAATCTCCTCCTTGTCCGGGTCGCCCTCACGCCTGCTCCTCGATGACCTTTCGCCCACGAAGCGGACCACGCCGTCCTTGAGAGGAAACACGACCATTACCCTGCTACCGAGAAATAGGGAGACACGCTCTGTGTCGTAGTCGCCTTTCACTTTGGCGTCGCAGAGCATGAACTGCTGGGGATATTGCGCACCCTCAAACGTCACGTCGGCGCTGTGCCGCACGACGCTATGTGCGCCGTCGCAGCCGACAATGTACTTTGCCCGTACAACCTCCTTCGAAGTGCCTTTTGTTAAAGAGGTGCTCGCGCGGACGCCGTCTTGCTTGATATCGTCCGCCGACACGCCCCGCTCCACATTGCCGCCATACACCTCCAGCTGCCGCAGCATGGCAGCCTCGGTGTCGACCTGGGAGATCCACAGCGGCAGGCCGAAGCGGGTATCGTCGAAGCCCAGGTCGTCAAAGGTGCCGGTGACGAGATGGCGCTTATTGCAGTAGATGTTGACGCCGGGTCCTGCGGTGCCCTCAGCGAGCATGGACTCTGCGATGTGGGGGTGACGGTGGAGGAGCTCCTGTGAGCGCGGCTGCACAGCCAGGGCGCGGGACTTGTCTGACGGGACGGGGGCCTTGTCGATGATGCGGAAGGGGATGCTCTGCACCGAGAGCTCGAGTGCGAGAGTAAGGCCCGTGGGGCCGGCACCGATGATGAGGACGTCTGTTTCGCTCATTTTTGGTAGTGATGATCTCTTGGTTGACGATGTCAATGGTCTTTTCTCTGATGGTGAATGCATTGGTGTGTTGGTGCTTCTGAGTGGGTAATGGCAGCAGATGCCGACCGCGACCACGCAAGGCGGGATGCTCCTTTAAATAACATCCTTTGTCCGCGTACTTTTGTTTGGATCATACTTTATCTAGGGAACTCGACATGCTTCGAAGAGGACCAGAGTTTCCATGCCCAACATCAGCTGAACGAACACGTCGGCACCTCGCCTTCACAAGCTCCGTGCTTCATCATAACCGCGTACGTCACGTTTCTTGCCAGCTTGTCGAGGGAGATATCCGCGGGCGGGAGGTAAGACGGGGAAACACACAATTTGAACGAGGTGCAGGGTTGTTCACACAACGCATGTCAAGGACAGATACGGGAACCGGGGCCGGATTGAGGCCGGTCGCACGCGGGGCAACTGGGTCATGACATCCTTCTGGCTGGCGATGGCGTTACTTTGAGCAGCAAAGTGTATTATGCCTGGACTTGGTTGTCCTTCCTGAGCCTACTTGGGACGATGAATGCGTAGGCTGGTGTGGTTGGAATTAGCTTGTAGTCGGCGGGCGGGAGTTGCAGCTGGATCTATGGCTGAGGAGAGTCACGTGAGGGTCGGAGGTCGGTCGTTTTGACTCCCGATGCTCCGACATTGTGGGTCGCCAGGTCTTGGAAAGTGGGCCCGACTGAAGGCAACGATGATCATCTAGAGGCTGCGGCGAAGATCCAACGGAGAGCTTTCCTCGTCGATCTCGGGTAATGCAGGAATTGATTATAAGTCCAGTCATGGAAACTCCTCACTCGAATCTTTGTAAAGCAACCAAGATCAGTATTCATGCCTTTGAGGGTTTACTTGGGGTGTTTCAAGACGCATTTCCTCAGACATTGTTATGTAGCCCTTGTTTATTGGGGAAAATGCATCTGATGTGTCTCTTGGCAAAAGTCAAACAAGATAGACTTTGAATTCTCGAGATAAGGGCCATTCAGAATCCTTAACTGAGAGTCTGTCACTTACCTCACAGGACGAACAGTTCGGAAGAAAACGATCTCGGCTCCGACATTGATTTAGATGTCCAGATCAAAGATCTCACTCTGACGCCTTGGAAAGTCTCATTTCAACGGCTCAATGCACACTCAAAGCTGTTGCTGGTTGGCTGTTGGCATGAACCTTGTCGGCTTCCTAGTTCGGTACCTTGGAAGACATCTCCTTGGTCAACGGCAGTCTTCCCTTCCTAAACCCACTTCAGCTTCTTTTACATTCTGGAAACTACAGAAAATAAGGTAGTGTAGCTCGGGCATATCTCGCCCGTATCACACGATATGGGGAGGGTCTTGAAGAACGCTTGACACCCAATGCTCTCAACGTCCCGTTGAATCGGGGTAAACACACTGAAAGCATTTGGTCTTGACTCTTCCTCTACCTTCACAAACTGAAGACAACAGAAGAATCAACTGAAAATTCTTCAAACTTGGGGCCTCCTCCACGTATACCATTAATCCCAGTTTCCGAGTGTCGTTGATTAGCCGACACTTCCTCCTTTGTTTCTGCTCGCATGCCATATTAGGAAGCACCGGTGTTCGCGAATTATTTTAAATTGCCCCTGGTACCAAACTGTTAGTGGAAGGAAGGATAAGTTACCTTAATAGAATGGGAGGCTCACCGAGGGGACTTACCTTTCTAAGGGGCCTCTTGTTGCTAACGTCTACTGTGTGTTGCTGCCTAATTTGGAGCTGTAAGCCTCCGCTGCGAGCCTGTGACCGCTCTTTCCTCTCTTACACCTTTACATGAACAAGAAATACCCGATTCTCGTCTCATCTTACCTGTTACTTAATCCTTCTACCTCCTGTTCATCGCATGGGATAATTGTCTTTACATCTTCCCAACCAAGCGAAGTCTACTTCTTATGTCCTCTCATCCGACATCAACCCTTCAGAGTTCTCAGTCTCAACGTCTAACATTCCAGCTCAGTATCGTCTCATCCGTCTATCTTACTGGGCCAATCCAAGATTGCGCATTGCGTCTAATATCACATCGTCCTTTTTGATGAGATGTAAGTATCCGAATTCACCTCGCTCCCTCCTTTCATCGCATCAATATTTCTATGAACATTTCGGGTGAAGCCTTTGGGCGTCCAACTGACATACCAAAGTCTAGAATCCATCCTGACATCGACGATGCCCCCTCCCGGCGCTAAGTCTGGCACAGGTCTTGGACAAGTTCTTCTCTTGCAAACGCAACTTATCCTGGGAGATTGCAGAGGTCGCATAGTAGCACAAGGGTGCTTTACTCCCTATCATAGGTGCTCATTTCCTGGCATAGACCACTTTTATCTTAGTTTCCTTCCTAGGCCTCGTCTGGCAAAAGTCGTGAATTCTTCATGAGGCACTTGTTAGGGTGCCTTCTAAAAAATTTGAATCTCCTGCAGGCATTTTCATTCTTTGGCATTTCGTCGCTTACCTGCTTACCAACTACCTCCTGCTAGTTGGTCGGGTGAATGCAAACATCTTGGACTCAGTCGTTCAGCGTTATTCTGCCTGAGACAGGGCAGCTTCCCTTGTCGGTTCTGCCTGGCCGTAGCTTGCTCCCGACTTTTGTTCCATCCCTCCATCACAGAGGCCTGAGGTCTTTCTTTTCATCCGGCCCGTATTCAGGGAACTTTAGGAACCTTGAGGTGCCTCATTTCATTCGTTTATACTTTTGCGGGGACCCAAGGGAGTCCGAAGTCATACGCCGCTGAAGGTAACTCTGCCCTCTCTCTAAGTCTGTTTTCCTTCCACTTTCGCACGGCGCAAACTTTTTCTCCCTACACACGATTATTCTTGAGTCCTCACCGTTTAGTCTTCTCGCGTCTTGAGAAAGCTCTTTTCCCCTTCTTCCTTACCACGTTCTACTCATCTCCAGCATGTCTTGGCCCTGGATGCCAAGAAATGACCTCGGTGACGAGCAACTCCGCAACCTTCAGCAAGGCTTTGAGCGTTACAAGCCCGGAACAAGATTGACGCTCTGCCCTCGAGAGCCAGGTATACCGTACGGCCTTCCAGAGTACGGACCAGGAATCCGCCCCGAGTCCAACGAGTGGTTCCTCCCAAATTTCGACCCAACCATCGACCAGCCGGACCACGAAGCGCAAGTCGAGATCATCGAATGCTTGAAGGGTGGTGTCAAGGGTGGTGTCCTAGTCCTTTTGTGCAAGATCATCAAGGTGCCATCTATCAGGCGTACTACTCACCATCCTCTCACTCGCGAACTAGAGGTTGTGCTCAAAGTATTCGACTCAGTGTTCTTCCCTCAGTCTCTGGAAATATTTCTGCGCGAGCACGTTCCAGATGACTTGCCCAATCAGCTCCTGAGCCGGGAGGCTAATGCTTATGAGTATTTCTAAGACCAACGCATGACGGGCAATCCCCATATGGTACCACAGTACTATGGCAGCTGGGCAATCAAGTTTCACGTCATCGGATCAGCTGGATCTGGTAGCTTCCCGTCATTCCAGACACGTCGATGGAGATGTGCTGGCGCTGTGCTTATCGAACACATTCAAGGCTAATCGATTGAGAAGATATGCGATGGATACGAGAGCAGATTCCTGATCCCTGGCCAGGTAATGCTTCCCTTCCCCGATTCTGCAAGTGGTCATAGAGAAGGACTCTCTTTGACGGATGTGCCATCCCGACTGAAGGTTCTCAAGCACATCGTTCATGTCGGCGCTGACGTCACAGTGTTCACCGATTTTGCACCACGCAACATGTTCCTTACCTTCAGCAACAAGAGCCAACTGGCCCTAGAAAACGTCCGCCCCGTTCTTCTTGACTACAGTCGCTGTGTCATATGGTCTCAGAGCAATCGAGGTATGCACGGACGGCTCGACGAAGTGTACTATGACGCCCCGCCCATTCCCAAGAGATACGTCCTAGACAAAAGCCCAATGCCGCGACTTCCGAAGCCTCCACACCCTCTGATGGTCTATCCTAATGCCAGCTGGCTGCAGGACTTTGCAGGTTGGTTTCCCGTCGACTAGATGGAGAGAGGGTCGGACAAGCTCGAAGTCTGGATCAAGAGCGAGTTTGGGGAGCCCGAGCAGCAGCGTATCTACTCGACTGAAAAGATGCTCAAAGAACAGATGCAGGAGTTGTGGAAAGTCGGCCAAGAGATATACGAAATGGAGAACCCATTCCTCATCGCACAGGGAAGATACGACCTCATCATCAAGGATTGCGATATTCATCCAACTCCCCAGGAGAAGCGCCAGGCCGAGGCAGAGGCACAGCACAAAGCACATGTCATGCATTCTAGAAACATTAGAGAAATCCATCGGGAATATGGATGGCCTATTTCGAGTAAACTGAATGCAGCATGCGAGGATCCGCCGGCTCCTGAGATGGGCTCCTAGGAGGAGCCAGTTCAGAGAGCTGAGGAACGTCCGCGAAAGAGTTATGGCCGCCTGGGCACCAAGGGCAGAAGAGTTGAGAAGTTTTCAAGACAAATTGCTCAGCGGTTTGCATCAGGAAAGGCTTCTTCAGCCGCTGGCGGACCAAGCAAGGAAGGCGAGGACGCTAAGAGTGATAGCGCAAAGGAGGGTACTTTGACTTCTCTTCGGGAGAAGATGAAGAGAGTGCCATCGCTGTAGAACAGCCTGGAGAGTGGTTTGGAGAAATTCGTGGCTAAACGGTCGTATTGAGAGGATTGAGCGTGGGCCTCTGCAGTGCGCAGAGATACAGAACGAGTATAAGTAGAGAATTGACCCGAAGTACAAAGTGCATCTCGACTCGTGGCGTTATCCCTTAGTAGCTCAATGAGTGGCCGTGATAGTGATAGGTTTGCAAGTTGTGCACACGATCATGATCCGAGTGAGGAATTAACCTTTAAAGATACCACCTATCGAAATACACGTACAAGGACAATGGCCTTTTGGCTGAGACGAACTGCATTGCATTTGACCTGCGAGATCAGGATAGGGACAATATAATCACACCAGTCTGTCCCAGCCCAAATAGCCCCCACCATCCGAAGTACGCCGAGAATCACCTCCCCATCCCTCACGCCCTCCCAACAACACCCAGCAACTCATCGACAACGACTCCTCTAAAAGCCCGATCCAGTCCACAACTGCCACTCTTACCAAACACACTCTCATCTTCGTCCTCGCCCGCGTCCTCACCACCGCCTCCTCTTCCTTCTGTTCCACCTCCGGCCTCCATGGCCGAGAACGCGACAGCCAACTGCCGCGGATCCAACGCCGCCCGCACGGCAGCCGTGTACCTCCCCCCCATGACCGCATTCAACGTCCCGAGATGCTCTGCCGCAGAAACAGCACCAACGCCGACACCAGAACCAGCACCACCCAGAGTCGAAGCCGGAGACGAAGACGAGGTCGCAGACGCAGATGCAACATCCGCAACGGACCGCCCCAGCCCAATCTCCAGCAACAACACCCCCAACGCAAGTATATCCCTCCTCTTACCCTCCTCCAGCGCCTCTCCCCCATCACCACGATCCTCACCACCACCACTAACCCGACACCGCCTCACCTCCCCCTCCTCGAACCCAGCCCCGACAAGCAGCGGCACCGACACTTTCGCCTCATACTCCCCGCCCCTAACCCCAAACCACACATTTTCAGCACGCACGGCGCCATGCACCCGATCAACAGCATGAAGCTCGCTCACCGCCCTCGCAAGCTGTCCCGCAAACCGTATCTTGTCCGAGAGGATCCTCGCCGCCGCCTCCCGCCGCCCGCGCGTGAAGTGGCCCGTCGGCGAGCCGAGGTGCTCCGACAGTCTGTAAATCTCGGCGCGGCGACAGCCCTGCAGCGGGGAGGCGTCGTAGATGTATTCCAGCCGCTGGTCCCGCTCCCGCTCCCTCTCCTGATTCCGGTTCTGGGTGAGGACTCGGAAGCCCGTGCAGCGGAGGAGGTACGGCGACCGCGTGGCGTGTAACAAGGTAGCGAGCTTGAGCGTTTTGCGGCATATATCCGGGTCATCCCGCAGCATGGCCCTCGTCTCGACAATGGTATTCGCGTCGCGGAACCGCAGGCACGAGGCCGTAGCAAACACGCCGTCGACTTCGTCAACATCAGGGGTATGACACGTATCATCACTCGCGAGGAGCAAGCTCGCAATCAAAGGGGCATCCCCCCTCTGGATCCGAATCTGCCAGATATCGTGCTCGAGACTCGGGTCCCGCCCCACGGCGATATTGCGCAGCTGCACGGCGCGCGTGTCCCGGCTGAAGAGGTCTTGGTTGAGCACGCGCTTGATGGCGAGCACGACGTCGGCGCGGATCTCGTCGTTGAGGGCTTTCACGTGCTTGTGAGTTTCGAGGAGGAGTTTCGGGTACTGGGGGCTTGCTAGGGATGCCTCCGCCGCTCCCGCCGTCACCGGGCTCTGTTCAAAGAGGCGGAGGGTCTCGTTGGCTCGTCTGAAAGAGTATCTGCAAATGTTGAGGTCCGCCGGGGCGAGGCTGCGGAACGTGGTTGAGGATGTGTCTAGGTGGTAGATTTGGTCGTTATAGATTAGTCTGTATAGCGCGGTTGTGCGGTGTAGTTCGGACTGGAGCTGGTTCATCTGTCTTCGCGTCTGTAACTGGAACGTCTTGGTGGTGTTAGCCAAGTCGACTAGTCTACGGGCAGTCTCCTCGGCTCTGAAAACCACCTCCCCCAGACCAATGGTACCGTCGTTGCTATTGCTATTCGCCATGTCTGCGTCGATATATCGAAGTCTTACTCAACTTGTTGACGAGCACATTAACGACGCAGCAGCGGGTTGTTATACACAACCCGGATCCATGTTGGAGGGTATCCCGACACAACGGTTCACTCTCCCCGTTCCGGGGGGTGTTCCCACAGTCGTCGAACCGGCAGCATGAACGTTACCTCGGGAAACACACGCAGCGCACAAGAAAAATTGCGGTACAGTAACTGAATCGGGTTTCAAGAATCAGATTCTGCCCGACTGGCGGCACACGTAGATTTCTGCGGGACACCGAGTCGTGAATCATGCCATTGCTGCAGACACTCAGCTTCCAACGACTCGTCTTTTGGTCGTTTTGCCATCCAACAAAGACCCCTCCCCCTCCTTCTTTTCCATTTCAGCCTTGCTAGGTTCATCAACGGAGAGGGGCCCCCCAAGTATCCAGGAACGAAGCCAGACCCATGACATCACACCCGAGAGAATGCATATCATCGGCTTCGAAGGCCGAAATGCTGGTTCCGACGCAGTAACTCATGTGACATACGCGAAGGAGACGGAGAGGGTTCGGGAACTAGACATATTGGCGGGCCAATGATTCAAGCGCTTACCAGCCATACCATATGCCAAACGACCCAGCAATCTTGCCAGCGTGGTGTGGACAACCCTATTCCAACCACCATGTGGGCTGGTCCGACTCATTGTCGAACAGAGACCCTGACCCGAGCGATCTAAGATGTTGGTTATGGGTACAGAGTACGGAGTGCGGGTATGCAAGCTGAAAGCAAGTCAAAAAAAGAAAACGTGCCCAGCTTCTTCTGATGGACGGTGAAGGCCCCAGGGTACCTTTCGCCTGGGACTGACGCGTCACTTGGCGTATCTTAGCTGCCCGTATCGGCCAGGTTCCGCCTTGACAACTCCCATCTTGCCCTCATGGCCCCATGGTTTTAGTTCCAGACGGTCGCGGCGGTGTGTGAGAGAGACAGAGAGAAAAAAAAAACGAAAGACGGAGAGGCATTTCGACGTCAGCGATGGATGGTCAGGGGTTTCATGACATTATGGCAGGTCGGCCGAGCTTACTCGTCTTCGGCGGCCACGCCGATTCGGGGAGCCTAGTAGTAGTCCCCTCAAGTCTGGCCCGTTGATAGGACCTCTGAGCGGATTCCCATATGCCCGCATATGCAGCTGACCCTTTCAGGCATGTAGTCCATCTGGGAGTTCGACGTCCCATTGACACCGTCGTGGGCGGGGTCACTTTTTGCTGCCTGAGCAGCTTGCCACTTCAAACAAAGCGATCCGGCATCCCAAGATTCCCAGGGAGACGCTCTTACCGAAGATGTCGTCGGCGTTGGAACTTGGTACCTATGCAGGGGGGGGGGGGGGTTCCGCTTCGTACACGGCCCGGTCACCATGTTCTCGCATCAGCCAAGGTTGTATTCCATTATCGAGCTGATTAGTAATAAGATGAAATCCCACAGAAAGCGGCCAGGCCAAATCTCCTCATTCGAAATCAGGGTTCGATCAAAGCCTCGACTCTCGGTTGCGGGATCTTGCGTGGGGGTGCCTGGGCGGATATGTCGCACAGAGCTCGAATGACACAATGGCGCAGATGTCTCGGGATTTCCGTCGAGGATCCATACCGGCGGTACACTGGTCAAGCTGGCTATCAAACCGCCTTCTGGTCACATTACTACGCGGGGAATCGCGGAATGCTACCGCGGGTACCCATTTGGCGATTCCGTAAGGAATATATTTTTCGGCCAAATCACATACGGCACGAGGACCAGAACGCATGATTCGAGTCAAGAACGCGGTTCGCTTTCTTTCTCTTGCAATCTCTTCGGCCGTGAAACATTGGCCTTGTTGTATATCGAATTAGAAAAGGAAGTGTCTAGAAACCAGATCTGAGAAGCGTGACGTGTCTGATGCATGACATGACATGACAGGGTGGGTAGTCCGAAGCGCTCTGCGCCGTCTCCTCTTGCCTCCGCGACTGTTTCTGGATCGTCGCCGCAGCTGGTACGTCAGTTTGGAACCATGCTGCAACTTTACCTCGTCCCTCCCATGGACCCCTTACTGTACCCCACTTTGCTCGGCATTTGCGATTCTAGGTCTAGGAAGAGACAGCCTCCTTGACGTCCTCCTTGACATCCTTGGCCAGGTCGCCAACACTCTTCTGAGATTGCTGCCACATGAGGATACGGGAGCACTGGACGACACCAACAACACCGAGGAAGAAGTTGACAGCAGCAAGACTGAAAAGGTTAGTTGACACGTTCCTTTTCCGAGACCCTTCATGACGTACAGGTAGTTCTTGGGCTTGATGATCAAGCACCAACGGGTCCAGATGATACCAGTGGCCGTCAGGGCACCGTTCTGGGTGAGAGACAGCTTCTCGGCGGGACGGGCAAAGTCAGCAACACCGGCAAGAACGAGAGCCCACTGCGTGTTGCGTTGACAGTCAGCATTCGTTCCTTGGAGGTATTCCCAATCCTCCCGGGTATATCTTCCTCCGGTTTATATCGACCTCCGACATCGCGACCGGACATCTGCAAGGGAGATACCCGGAGGTAGCTTCAGCAAGCAGGACTTCATACCTTCATAACAGGGGCCCTGGAACCATCTGAGTCAGCGAACATGTCCAAAGAATACCATCCGAGGCTTTCATATCGCATGTCGGGGCAAAGTCTACTCACCAGAAGTGCACCGTCTTGATTCCGATGGGGCTGTCCCACATGCGCTTGAACCAGCTAACCTGGGCATCGGCGGACGCGGTCGAGCTCTGCCATCTCTTGGAGCTCTCGCGGAACTGGGCGCGGAACTGGGAGGTGCGGAAAGCGTTGCGAATCTGGGCACCGGCGAAGACCTGCTGGCGGAACGCAGGGCGCGCAGCCTTGAAGAAGTTGTTGGCGGGGGCCATTGTGACGGATTTTGAAAGCTATAGCTTTTCTTTTCGTGTATATGTCGTCGGAGACTCGGGTTCGGGGGACCGATTGAGAAGCGATCTCAATTCACGCGGAGGTAGAAGTGGTTTGGAGCGGAGAGGGTTTTCCTTTCGATGGACGCACGGGAGGGATGGAGGGGAGAGGTTGAGGCGAGGTTGAGAGACGCAGATGCGTTGAGGTTTGGGACGTCCGAAGATGAGCGGGCAGCTTTTTTGGCCCGGGAGCGCGAGCGAGCGCATACGGTGCACTGGGAGGTAGGCGCACGGCAGCTCTCAGCGAGCAAACAGCAACCGCCAAACCGGAGATAAGCGGGGACAACCCGTCGAGGGGAAAAAAAAGTTGTCGGCGGAAGCACTGACCAGGTCGACCTCACCTTTGAACCTTATGTAATACTTGTTTGTAGCTTCGTACCTCAAGAAACGGCCCCTAGATCGGTGGTGTCGAATTGTGCATATGCATAAATCCAAAGCTTCAAGTCTCCCACCAATCAGCAATACCCAATTAGACCATTTATGTCCACCCCGAGTTCCCGACCGTCTTATGCAAGATTCCCTGACCCACCTGGAGCCGTGAGCATCTCGTCAACTTCAATCCTCGCCAGTCCACCAGCAAAGAGGCACCTCCAATCGACCCGAATTACGCCAATTGACCCCTACCGCCGCCCGTCCGCACCTCCTCCGCACAGCCCCAGTCACGATGTCGAGCAAGTACGCATTCACAAAGGCCCTCAAGGAGGTGCGCTTCCTTTTCTGCCAGACGGGCGAGCACAGCGCCGCGACCCGGTACGTTTCCTCGACTTCCCTACACACGCTCAGCACATACACACCCCAACCTCGAAACCTCCCGACGACGACGACGACACCAACCGCCCTCATCACCTCGATCCCCCGCTTGCCTTCGCTACCGCGCCACTGCGCCACCAGAGATCTCCAAACCGCTAACCTCTCCTCGCAATAGCAACTTCGTCGCAAGAGCCTACCCCACGATGAAGAAGAACAACCCCCAGACTCCCATCCTCATCCGCGAGGCCGCCGGCACACTACCCAAGATCTACGCGAGATATGGTCAGAAACATTTCCCAATGATACAGAACGAATAGTGAATGCTGATTATGTACTCTTGCTCAAACAGAATTCGGCGTTGAAAAGAGCCAATCGCTGGAAGGTGAGAACGCCTCCCCCTCCTTCAATGTCTCTCGAGGACGCTCAGTAGCTAACACGCTCCACAAAAGGCCTGTCGGACAAGCAGATTGAGGATACAGTTACGACCCTGGTGAAGAACGGCGCATAAACGTATAAATCCAGACGGGAACAATTGAACGAACAGACCAAAACAAGGACCTTTTGTACCATCACCGTGTTGAGAATGACGAGCCGAGAGTTGTATTGAGACTGAACTCAGCGAGCTGCCGATGAATGAACCAGGCGCCGTGGTCACAATTCGGGGTGATCTGTGTTTCCAAGGAACTATTCCTACGACGATCCCATATACGGTCTGCTAGATAGTGTCCACGTTCCCCGGGATGTTCACTCTACCGTTGATCAGACAAGGCTCTGGGCGAAGACGAGTTTACTCCAGGCCACCTATGACGGGTCTCACGACCAACCAAGTGAGCATTCAAACAACCAACGATCAAACAGAGAGTCTTCCGAGCAATATTCGTTCTATTTCTGCGCAACTACCAAGCCACAAGCGCGAGCTACGGGTATCACTCAAACACAAATCCTTCTCAAGGAACGAATCTAAATCCTTCCTATCACCTGCTTTCGAGCCACCTCCCCCACAGGCTCTCCAATCTACAGAAAAGCTTTCAGCCAACCCTGTCCTGTCACATCTGCTTCGGTCTTTCCGTATTCGTTCGTATCGCGCCCAAATCATTTCTCCCCAAACATCGAACATCCTTCTCTAATGCTTGCCACTGTCCTCCTGAGGGAGTGCGCCTGAAGATGTCTTATCCTTAGTCTTGTCCTCACTGCTCATGCTGCTGATAGGAGGGATGATGCTGCCCTTTGTAGCAGTTGATGTTGCACGCGCTTTACCCCAGACGCTGGTCGCAGGTAGGCTGGAAGTAGGCAAGGGGGCAGGCGGCAGGGACGGGAAGTCTTCTTTACTGGCAACAGATAGCTTCCTGTTGTGCGTTTCTGGGGCATTTTGCGATTGTTGAACGTGCTTGTGTCCTCGAACATTCTGCTTCTTAGGCGAAGGTTTGCTCTTCTGGGGTTCTTGCTTACCCTGTTGCTGCTGTCCTTGCTGCTCGCGATCGCTGCTAAGCTGTTGCTGCTTTTTTTTGCTAGCGCCCTTCTTTGAACGCTGTTTCTGGTTGTTGCCGCTGCTAGCATTTGATGATCGAGAGACGGACGTATCGCCTTCAGCGGGATAATCCTGCTTTGTCTTCCCCATGCTCTCGGGAGCCGACTTTTGTATGCCTTCATCTTGGATTCGCGCTTCATCAAATGTAGAAATCTGTCCATTATCGACGCCATCTCCAGCAGTATCTCCCTGACACTGTTCAACTTTCGCTTTGGGAGGCGTTGGTCCTGGAGTGAGAGTTCGGGATGTGACCGACGAACTGCGAGAGAAGTTGCGTTGATGCTGAGTGGTCTTCACTGGGATCAGTACCAATGGAATTGGCGCCAGCTTCACTCTATGAACAACAGGGCGCGGTGCAGGTGACACAAACTCCTTTGCCTTTGGATTGAGTTGCATGGTTGACTTTGCCGTCGCCTCGCTCTCAACCACGAACCTTTCTGGTGAAACCTTCGGTTCAGGCGTCCTATCTGATGATGGAGTTGCTGGGGTCGATAGGACCTTGGGCGAGCTGTTGCCAGAGCGGCTCTCCTGGGCTGTGGTGAAGCTCATCTGTGAAGTACTCGCAGCAGATGGAAGACCGCCGTCGATGACCTGGGCCTCCTTCAAGACGATGGCGGCTCCAGAAGCAGAACCTTCCCGTACAGCAAGATTCAGCCGAGTCGGCTGCTTGTTGCGATTCTTCGGAATTCGAAGTGAGCCGCCAGCGTTGGCTCGAAAATTCTTGTTGGGCGGCTCCGGGAGACTTGACTTTCCTAGAGATGCTTCTGTTGCAACGACATCCTTGGCCGCAGTGATGATGTCGGCCGTCTCTGATGCACCAGTCTGGGTTTCCGTCGGAATATGAGGAGTCTTGTCATCGGCGGCCACAGTCGAGGCGTCTCCAATGGGGAGAGACTCATCTTGGCTTCCTGATGCCGGCTTCTTCTTCTTCTTTTTGTTTTTCTTGGTCTTCTTGTTTGAAGCGCCGTCGGCCATGGTGGTCATTGGAACCCCTGAGATTAAGCCCGCATCGATCAAGCTGTCCAGTGCATGTCCAGACTTCAAGCGAAGGCTATCGCTAGGCCCATCTTCGTCAGGAAACGAAGTCTTGAGAAACGAAGAGCTACTTCTTCCTGGCATGTGAGGCACCACGTCGAAGACCTCGACACTGCTAGTATCTCTGTGAGAGAAAATCTTTCTGTACTTTCCCTTGCCATACGTGGGGCTTTGCGCAAGAGGCTCAGGGACTGTGACTCCCTTTTCCGGAACAGGCGAGACATGAGGTTTAACATTCGCAGATTCCTCAGACGGTCCCTGGTCACGAAGAGCGCCAGACTTGTTTTCCTTGTCACCGGAAGAAGCAGGAGAGCTCTTCTTGACCGGAGAGGCTACCGATTCGCTGTTTTCCGTAGTGAAAACAGCCTTGCCAGATGAGTCAGATTCCCCGTGTGCTTCAGTGCCCATCGAGGTTTTCATCAGCTTTTGAGGTGTTGCCGGCAAGTTGACGACAATGGCTTTGCAAGGACTGCTGGATATCCGAGGGCTGTCATGCTTGGTTGACTTCTCTTCATCGGGAATAACCTCTTCGGAAGGCGGCTTCGATTGCGACTCGGCTTCACTTGACTGTTGCAAGGCTAGATCGATAGTCGTTTGGGCTTGTGTCGGCTTGACGTCTTCAAGCAGTTCAGTTTTCTGCTGCTGTAGAGTGACTTCGTCTGCGGTGGGCATCGAAACCGTTATATCAGGTGCCGCTTCGGACGGAGGACACTGTACTGGTTTGCCCTGCGGTTTTGATGGACGAGGGATCATGTACTGCTCCAAGGAGACTGCTTGTGATCGAGAGTCCATACGAGCAGATATGGACTGGCTTTGGGCGAACGGATTCTGGCTGCTAGGCCGAGGAGGTTGCTGGGACTCTTCGTACTGGCTCGGCATTCTATTCTGTTCATTCGCGTCCCGGCTGGCTTTGGAATACATCAAGCTTCCATAACGCGTATGGTGAATAGGTCGCGTCTGAAGCATGCAGTGCAGCTCTGCACATTCAATATCTTTCGCGCACGCAATCTCAGTGATGCGCGATCCATCTTTGAATCTGAACGAGAGCACCTGATATCAGTAGAACTCCTAGCCTGGACGAATATTGCCACTTACCTGACAAAAAAGTTGGGGTATTCTCTCTGGTCCTTGAGAGCCAACCTGTTGACTTTCTCAACCTCTCCCCACCGAGACATCACAGCATGGACCTTCTCGGACAGGTCATCTCTAATCGTATGAGAGGTGAGCTGAACGAAGACAGAACGCTCACGAGCCTCGCAAGAAGGACACTCGCAAGGCGCGTAGGCCCATTTGTTATCGCCAAACTTTTCATGTTGATTCGTGCAAGTGAAAGTTTGTCTAGACGCGGAAGAACGGGATAATGCACGGGCGCGATTATCCTTGGTTGGAGAACGACGGAAAACGGGCCCATGAATCGAGTCGTCTGCATTGTGGACCTTCTCCCATCCTTTTGAATCGCCACAGGGGCGCTGCTGGTGATGAGATGGGCCGTTCGAGTTAGGCGCTACTCGCGAGTTGAATTTCGTTTCAAATCGCGGATGGCCCATTTGTGAGCCGCGGTCGCCTGCCTGACCAAAATGGGGGTCTGTCGATGCATTGCGCTTACCGCCGTTGTGTCTCTGGAAGGGAACCGGCTCAGGTGCCACTCCAGGAAAAGCAGCAGATTGAGCACGCTGTGCGCCGCCCATGGGGACAGAGCCCGGCATTTGCGCCGAATGGCCACCGTTGTTGAAGCGGTTGTCATTAGGTCTTTGAGGAGACGGTACGACCTGCGAGGGTGGGCCATAACGGCGATTTCCAGGACCAGCAGGAGGTTCCAGGGGGCCATGAGGGAGGCCATGAGGGGGGCTAACAGGACCAAGATAGGGCTGAGGCATACCATGAGGACCTGTAGTAAAAGGTGTGTTGAATGGATGAGCACCGGGTCTAATGGCATGAGGGTAGAAGGTGGACCCTCCTGGACCTGCATTTCCACCGCTGGATATCGGTGTTTGATTCGTTTGAACAACGTTGGGGCGCAAATGACCAGGCAACTGACGAGACTCATCGTTATCAAGGCTATGACCTGCCGAAAAGGTCTGCCGGTTGTCCGCTGAGGTACCCTCAGGGTGGCTGACGCGATTCACGGCCGTAGCAACATCGTGATGGAGATGGTCGGGCTGATTTTGCCTGGATGTGCCGCTCACGATCAATGGCTTCGGAGGGGAGGGTTTGGCAGCCGGGCTCATTTGAGACAGCGGGGAGTCGGGGTTGCCCTTCTTCAGGCTCGGGGCGGTCGATGCCGGGGCAAGTCCACTAGGAGTATCTTGAACGGGTTGGCCCGCTAACAAGGTTAGGTTAGACGCGATTTCAGTATGGAATAAAGTCAACTCACCAAGCCAATGTTGCAGTGTGCCTTCTTCCCAATGGAACCCGAGGCTATTTTGCGGGTACGAGGCCGCCTGAGCCCATGGCTTGCCTAGAAGCTGATCATGTCGAAATTTCAGAGCATTGCGGACAAGTTCCATGCTGACGGGAGGCAGTCCCTGAAGGTCGACGCGATCCTCTGAGCTCAGAAGATTGAGAACGTCGCCGTGGAAGTCTTTGAAGTCTAGCATCTTCTTCTTGTTCTCGCTCTTTGCAGCCCATTCGTCGCACCAATGGCCGACTTCCGCGACGATTTCTTGATGGAGGTTGCGAACGAGACATTGATTTTCGTGGTAGAGATGAAGCATGAGATTCCACAGGTTCATCGCGCCTTGGAAGTAGATGTCATAGCAGTCGAAATAATCGTACAGGTCTTCCCAGAATTCCAGCTGCGGCATGGACTTCATGTGGCTCCAATGCTTCTTGCGGATGGCATTGGCCCTCTCTTGGAGCTCTTTAGCGCTCCATAGATCAATCTGGCGTGCTGGAAGGACGTGACTGAGACCGCGAGTGGGAAACTCGCCATTGTTAGTGCTAAAAATAGCCTTGATCTCCTTCGTAGGCTGGTTGTAGAAGGCGATCGGAAGATTGTCTTCGATGTAAAGTCTGGGCGTCTCTCCCTCCTTGATACTGACCATCTTGTAGCCGTCGGGAATTCCGTTGGGGTAGTAATGAGAGGAGGGCTTGGTAGGCATAGAGTTTGCCATCGTAGCGCGACCGTCGTGATCGTTGTTCATGGGAAAGCGCTGATCTTGGAAGGAGCCAGGTCCTCCGTGGATGTTGGAAGCCATACTGCAAAGCTGCGTATATCCAACGTCGTTTGGCAACGGGATAGGAGCCTTGCGGTGACGGGGTCGAGGGCAATCGAGGTAGAGAAAATGAGGATATTTCTGGTGGCGATTTTGGGGTAGAAGAGGGATTGATTTGGTGGTGGGAAGGAAGAAGAAGTGATGAAGTGGGTGGTGTTGTTGTTGGGACGAAGAGGGAGGGAGAAGTGCAAGACTCACAAGGCAGGTGAAAAAAAGAAGCAGGAGAGGGGGGGGGGGGGGCAGGAGGCAGGTGCCAAAGATGTTTGTTGGGAAGGAATCATGAGGGGGTGCGCCTGCCTGTAGATGAGGGCAGCAGTAGCATCAACCGGATGAACGAAATATTCAGACGTTTACAGTGACACTCTTTAGGACAGTGAAGTGGAGGACGCAGGACTCAGGCAGCAACATAGTTCATGATAGCTACATTTTCAGTAAGGATACCAGAAACAGCTCTCACACGGTAATCACATGAGCCTCATGGGTCTTCCTTTCGGTGCGATGACTCCTATTTGTTATGATATGTAGACGCGATTTACTGCATAGGTGGGCAGCCAGAATATTCTTCCCCTTCTTTCGGAGGAACTTGCATGAAAAAAGCCAAGATTCTCTTCTTTCAACCGTCTGTTGTCTTTCGCAAGTCATCAGATACCTCATCGTACTGTCTATAGAGACAAACAAGTCTTACTCATTTGATCCCAATAATGAGTCGATGTAATTGATGCAGCACACTTCCATTCAGGATCAGTAATGGAGTTGAATATCGTGGGCCCTGGGAAATTGAGATAGCAGTGCTTGCATATGAGGTGAGGCTTTGCTCAACAGAGTGAACGAGCGCTAGTACAGAGACTATAGTACTCATCGGAACTCAACTTGGGTCCTCGGACCGTCCGATAGCTATCAACGGATCGACGGCAGCCTACAGGCAGAGCTACTAGCTTAATTTGGGCTTAATCGGAACATTGGACGAGGGTTTAGACGACATAGAAGAGAGAAGAGTATATTCATCATTTAACTAATGTACCACTTGGGGAAAGAGGACGCAGGTATCTGGATAACAAGAACAAAGGAGCTGCTTTTGAACATTCGGAGAGAGCGTTCTCCTTTCAGCTCTTGTCATTGCTCAAGGCGTTGAGCATCTTGAGGATCTCAGATTCACTCTCACCAGAGACAGCCTTGCCGTTGTTCCAGTCCACAGTCTGCATGTCTTGGTCAGCCAGGTTTGTTCTCAAAGAAGTACAAGTTTGAACAGGTCCATGAGCTCTGAGAGGAAACACATACCACGGGTCTTTGGAAAACTTCGGCATTCTGCTGGAACTTCTTCAGGGCATCCTGCTCAGTGGAAGCACCTTTGATGATTGATGGGATCTTGCTCTTTCCGACGTATTCCAGGATAGTCTTGACCTGGTCGGCTGTTGGGGGATCTTCGGTGATGTTGAGCTCGAAGTCGGCGCGGGACTTCTTGGGGCTTGTTTGGACGCTGTGGTCGCTGGCCTGGTCCTCGGTTGCGCCGGCGGCGGCGTTGGCCGACACCTGCTTGAGGAGGTTGACAACTCTCACAGAGGCGGGAGAGCTCGCCTTGTGGAAGACAGTGACGATGTCGAGGGTCTTGCGCTACAGTTTGTGTCAGCAATCAATTGATTCGTATCGGGTATGGTTGAGCTGCCTTACGAATCCGAACATTGTGGCAGGTCGTTGGGGAGCTATTTTGGTGGTGTGTTTGTATTGTGTGAGCTCTGCTTCGTGCAGTGTGATGCGATGAAGTCGGCAGTGGAGCTCTGGAGCTCCGGAGCTATCAGGTTTACGTCATTTAGCCGGGCGGCTTAGTTTTAGACGCCAATGCCGGATTAGCGCACAGGCGGGGTCTGCCGCGCTTGACCCCTGGCCCCATGCACCTGGAAGCGGCCACAGGAGGCACAGCGATGGAGCTTCACGTCTTGGGACCCCTCACTCTGTCATTTGGATGGGCCTGGAGCCTCTTGGGCATCGATTTGGGTTTTTTCGTAACGGTATAGATGGGGGGCGCGGCTCCGATGGGTCGTCTTCTATGTCATGTTACCCTTCCACAGCAACAGGGCAATCGATCTCATTGCCTAGATTCACAGGATGTGCAGCACGCGATCAGGGTGCCGCACAGTATGAAGTTCGGAAGTGACAGGTCGGTTGTCAAGGCAAGGAGGTATCGGCGGGGTAAGATTTCAATGCACCAGGCAGAGTCACCTTCTTCGATGCTTTCATTTACTAATTAAAGGCTTGCTGAAAGAAGCAGCAGCTGGATAAGATATCTAGGTCAATATCGACCTTGAGCCTTCGCGCTCATTCGTTGTCGACCGTGGAGCAGGGGTAGCCAGGCTTGAGGCAGGCGATGAGCTGAACTCAAGCTCACTCAGCTTCAGCATCAAAGACAGGGCTGAACATTGGCAACGAAGATGCACCGTAAAGTCAGAGCCGCCAATTCCCCTCCGCCCCAAGTGCATCGCCGATTTCCCATGTGGCATGAGCAGATCTGTCATGGCTTTTTTGCGGAGAATGACAATTGCATGACGTAGGAGGGAGTTTTGCCCGTCTGAGCTGAGAATCGGCGCTGGAGACGTCATGACGTAGATGTACTGAAGGGGGGTCGTTGCGCAGGTGCAGCTAAGACAGCTTCCTTCCCATCCATATAGAAACCTCATCTGCTGTACACAAAAAAACGTTTGCTTTCCTTCTTAATCCAAACATTAACCATTTCTCATCAATCAACACTCCGTCCCGACTCTTTAGCAGTAAACATACTCTTGAAATCCTACCTCACCAACCAAACAACCAGCATCATGTCCGGAAACTCCAATGTTGGCAACAGTGCCGTCTACGAGGCTGGCGATCAGAGAAACGCCAAGGAAGAGGAGACCAACAACGCCGAGCGTTTCCACGAGGGCAAGGAGCACTCTCACTTGGCCACGGACTCCAGTGAGTTGCTCGTACAGCGGCCGGGACTGTGCAGTTGTTAACCATCAATTAGAGGATGAGCGATCCATCGCCAACAGACTCGCTGCTGAGGAGAAGAAGGACAAGGAAGGTGACGAGGAAGAGTCCCTCGAGACCCGTCTTGGCAAGGAAGACGCCACCCTCCCCGTAAGTAGCACTGCTGAGCCTGCAGAGCATGAAGTACCTTAACCAGCGCTAATTGACAATCAGGCCAAGCTGCACGGCAACAAGCCTTCCAGGGGCGCCGAGATTGACAAGCAGCTCCAAGAGGAGGATGAGCTTCGTCTGAAGCAAAAGGCTGGAAAATAGATTATGGAAAGAGCAAAAATGATTTTTGGACCGGCGTTGGCAGGGGTGCACCAGCATACTATATGAGTTCATAGGATGAATATCAAAAGTCATGACGAACGATGCATTTTCATTAATGGATTCATGGTGGTGGCGAGGCATTATCAAGGAACAAAACGTGGTCACATATTTGGTAGGGAGCAGCGCGCGACACGATGTTTGAAATACACAATTGTTCGTGTGTCATTTATTATTCTATGAAGTCGCTCATACTGTTAATTATACCTGGATGACGAATTAGTCAAACGCATCCCAAGAGGAGTTCCAGAGAACAGAAAGGTGGTGTTGGGTTTGGAGGTCAGAATATGTAAGAATTGAATATCATATATTCAGACGATATAGCCACTCCGGCGAAAGAGAGCCACCGAAAGAAATCAATCGCAAATTTTTCTCATCATTCCAAAGGGGGTGTGTATCAGACGGTGCAAACGTACCTTTTGTTTTGTTGCAACTTCGTCGGCAGATGCCAGATTTTGAGCACCTCGAAGCTGATGAAGAATCAGGTAAGATCAACAAACCAGAGGGAAAGCTCATCAAGCTGCACCTTTATGCGAATGGGAAAAAAAAGTTCTGTCGTCGGTGGAGCCTGCGCGGTGAGTGGCCACTGACCGCCCAAGCTAAGCCGTTTTGGGAAGGGAGGGACTCGGCTCGGTTAATCAGCAAATCCGTCTCAATACGGCTTTCTGACTTGCCCTAAGTCGCACCATCCTCCCAGGGAAAAAAAAAGAAGTGTGCCGAAGTGACTTCGAACTCCATCCACCACTAACCACCAGCAGCACATCTTCGACGTCTGGTAAGTTGACGCGCCCCTCCAAGACAAGCAAGACGCAACACCACGAAATCCGCAACCCCGATTCTAACTTCGCGATCCAACTTCAGACCGACCAGCAAAATGGGTGACGCTACCATCGAGGGTTCTAAGTGGCGACTGGTCGAGGTCGGCCGTGTCGTCCTCATCCAGGGCAACGGCCCCTACGCCGGCCGCCTTGCGACTATCGTCGAGATCATCGACCACAAGCGCGTACGTTGCGACAGCACCTCCTCTCTCCCCCGATACGATTCGAATGTTTTTGAAATTGGGCGCACGAGCGCGCGCTCTATGGACGATATAGGAAACCTGGAAGACTAACATGAATATCAAATTGCAGGCTCTGGTCGACGGCCCCTCCTCAGACGCCAAGCTCGCCGTCCCCCGCCAGCCCATCTCTCTCTCCAACACTCTTCTCTCCTCGCTCGTTGTCGCGGACCTGCCCCGTGGCGCCCGTACCGGCACCGTCAAGAAGTTCTGGGAGAAGTCCGAGATCGACAAGAAGTGGAAGGAGACCAACTGGTTCAAGCGCAGCACCCAGATCGAGCGGAGAAAGAACCTGAGCGACTTCGACCGCTTCAAGGTCCTCCGCCTCAAGAAGCAGCGCCGTTTCGAAGAGCGCAAGGCCCTGGTCAAGGTCAAGGCCTCGGCGTAATGGACTCACGATTAGGATGTCTATGGGGTTGACTTTGAAGACTACGGGGCTGGTTTAGAGCGTGACAGCATGGGATCCGGTTTGGTCTGCATCACCGCAGCATTGGGTTGCTGCACATCTCTTTTGCTCCGTAACTGGAAGGGCTGTATGTCACATTCATCATCAATCATATGATGACCGGCGTCAAATACGGAAATTCAGAGACAAAAATGAATTCATGGCACAATCAGAAAAATAGATTGGTTGGCTCGTGACGGGGACACGGAGTAAAGACTTTTTTTTCGGTTTTCCTTTTGAGACTCTGTAAATCTTCATGACGAACCTATTCTTGATGTGAATGCCATGGCCAGGAGTCGGTTATCGATATGCCTTTTTTTTATCCATCCCGTTCAAGCCCAGATATCATAGTGAGCACATGTACGGCCAGTCTCTGCCTTAGCATTGTAGAAATGACGGGCAGAATGTCATCCATTTGCTTGAGGCGGCGGCCGTGGCTCAAGATGCCCGGCGTGCACCGCGTCCCATCCGGGGGATCTGAACTGGGGGGGCCACTCAGGACGGGAGCGCTGGCAGACTCGCAGACGGTTGTCTTCTGCTTACCTAATCCACTTTAACACAGTAGGTGCTGCTAACCCTAGAATTTCTCTGCGATCTTTCCTACAAACCACAAAGCCACCGAATATAATCCCCCACGCCGAGTTAAGGATCCCTCGTTCTAGTCTTTGGTAAGTGTTGCTGTCCCTCTGTCGAATTTTTGACGCCATTGCCCGATCAACGAACCCGCGACTGCACCGACGAATTTTTGTGCGAAAAGTTGGCAATTTCCCCTTCCCACAGACACCCAAATCCGAGCTCGCCAAATCAGCTCTGCGCGCGATCCTAGCTCCCACCACCACCACCACCACCACCACACCAGAAGCACCCCGCAGCTAACAATTTTTTTCTTCCCCTCGGTTCAGCAGTCGACAAAATGGCCAATCCCCGCGTTGAAGAGCTTCCCGATGACGAGACCAAGAAGGTCTCCGTCGAGGAGCACGAGGACGAGAGCTCCGACTCCGAGATTGAGGGCGAGGATGCCGAGGGCCTTCCCTCCGGCTCCACCGCCGTCATCCACTCCCGCAACGAGAAGAAGGCCCGCAAGGCTCTCGAGAAGCTGCACTTGACCAGAGTGCAGGGCATCACCCGCGTCACTCTCCGCCGCCCCAAGAACGTGAGTTGCCTGGCATGATATGATATGGCTGTTGTTGGTGGTGGTGGTGGCACGCACGGCGCAATGCGGGGGGGTATATTGAACAAGGCTGACCCACGTCCCAGATCCTCTTCGTCATCAACAGCCCCGAGGTCTACAAGTCCCCCAACAGCAACACTTACATGTAAGTAGCATACTGCATCATGGACCATGCAATGTGTGGAAACTGACATGTGCATTCAAGCGTCTTCGGTGAGGCCAAGATTGAGGACCTCAACGCTACTGCTCAGCAGGCCGCCGCCCAGCAGCTTGCCGCTGCTGGTGGTGAGCACGACCACGCCGGCCACGACCACTCCAGCCACGGCAAGGCCGTCGAGGCTGACGCCGAGGCTAAGAAGGACGAGGAGGAGGACGATGGTGAGGAGGTTGATGCCGAGGGCATCGAGGACAAGGACATTGAGCTCGTCATGACCCAGGCCAACGTTAGCCGGAAGAAGGCCATCAAGGCCCTGAAGGAGAACGACAACGATATCGTCAACTCTATTATGGCATTGAGTATTTAGCGGCGGCCCCGGTCAAAGGTAGTTTCTCAAAATCTCGACACAGCAAAAAGGACGGAACGGGTTGGCATGTACAATTCCCAGGGAGTTGACTCCGAAAAGTCTCTTTCGCAATGAGAGGTCATGATAATCGGCGCTTTTCTTGCACTCTGGACACTGCGATCAAGACATACGTGATGTGTGATTGGCTGATGCCATTTTTGGGCTGACTCCTGCTCGAGATTCCTTTGAAGACCAGCCTCGTCTGGTTGAATTTACAGCTACCCCTCGATCTGGCGGGAATTGGCTCAGACCAGATTCGCAAAAGCCGGGAGCTCTGCCCCACCATTGAACCGTTCGTTCCCGTACAGCCAACCAGACCCCGGTACATTCAGTCGGAGAAATATCACGTGATAGTCCGCGTGACACCGTTCATCCCGGCTCTTTCTCTGCTCTCCGGTCGGCAAAGTCAATCATCAACCTCACGACGACGCAACTCCCTCTCCACTCCCCCCGAACCCTCAACAAATCCTCCAAAATGGCCGCAGTACGTGTATCCCATCGAAATCCGCTCGTCTCTCGTCGCCGGTTGATGCAATTGCCGCCGATGTCGCCAATTGGGTCGCGCATCCGCGCATCCGCTCCCTTGAAGCTGGGGCACCTGAGCTAATTTCTCTCCTTGTCCTGCAATAGCGAAGCGCAGCTCTCAAGCTCGACTGGGCCAAGGTCACCACCTCCCTCGGCCTCAAGGGTCAGACCGCCGCCTCCCTTCAGGCTTTCAAGCAGCGCAACGAGAACGCCCGCCGCAGGGTCCAGCAGCTGTCGGAGCTCCCCACGACCGTCGACTTCGCTCAGTACCGCTCCGTCCTCAAGAACCAGGCCGTCATCGACGAGATCGAGAAGCGCTTCTCCGCCTTCAAGCCCGCCACCTACGATGTCTCCCGCCAGATCAAGGCCATCGAGGCCTTTGAGGTCGAGGCCGTGAAGAACGCCGAGGCCACCAAGCAGAAGGTCGACCTCGAGCTCAAGGACCTCGAGAAGACCCTGACCAACATCGAGTCCGCTCGCCCCTTCGAGGACCTCACTGTCGTACGTACCGCCGGAATACGTGGAGGATGCGGATGGCCGGATACTTATCATGACTACAGGACGACGTCGCCGCCGCCGAGCCCTCAATCGACGAGAAGACTTCCCAGCTCGTCTCCAAGGGCCGCTGGACCGTTCCGGGATACAAGGTACGGTCAAAATACCACCCCGATATGATTCGACATACTAATACCCTCTACAGGAGAAGTTCGGCGATCTTTCCGTGCTATAGACGCGTTCGTTCTTCGATTCCCTTTGTGTACTCTAGCATTGTAGATAGGCGATCGGTCCGAGGGGAGGGAATCAACCCAGTGGACATTAATATCGACCTGCTGTACCAAGCGCTCTGCCCATCTTATGATGTACTGGTTCATTCTGAGCGGCCAACTCTGTAGAGTCGGTTTGAAGGATGCTGATGTTCGGTTGAATTTTTCCGGTTCGGAGTTTGTCTCCTCGGCGCTAACCGTAGTGGTGGCCGTTCACCGAGCCGCCAAGTCCAACAGCGTGACCGTCCACACGGATCGTCTAGCAATATGCTATGAATTCGGTCACTCCATACGCACGCGGTGAGTATCGAGATTTTGACATGTCATGATCTGGTTCTCGGGGCCGAGCTCACACACGACCTGCCCGGCTCACCCCGGAACTACGGCCGGATAAACGGGATCTCGTCGCGACAACAACAGCCCGGAAGCCCCGACTTCCCCACTATCGGACCTTGAGTCTAACCTCATCTCACAAAGTATCTCAGCACCAAAGCCGCGTACAAATGTGGTGACCTTCGCTCTTGAGCCTTCCGTTATCCAATTGTTACACTTGATCGATTCTATTCTACTGACCTTATTTGATCACATACATCTCACTCACTCAACATGACCTCACTAAACCATCTCATACTCAAAGAGGCACCTCTCTTAGATCCCGCCTGGCTAGCGTACGAGGAAGGAGTAAAAGCCAAAGGCCCAAAGAAGACGTACGCATCACCGCTCGACCGCCAGCCTATCTACGCAGAAGAATGCAGACAGCTCAACGCCCGCATGCTCGCCCCCGGCGCGTCATACCACCACCTATCGAGCATCACAACACAGCCACTCACGACCCCCTCGAGCCTAGACCAGTTCGCCATCCCGATCCTCCGCTTCTCCGACGACACCGACAACAACCTCACCGGCGACGAGATCGTCATGATTTACTACCACGGCGGCGGGCTCTACGTCGGCGAGGCAGACAGCGAAGAGCTGTCATGCAGACGCATCGCCAAGGACCTGGAGGGCGCGACGGTGTACTCGGTAGGATACAGACTCATGCCCTCGTCCCCGGCCTCAACCTGCGTCTCCGACTCTCTCGACGCCTTCCACCACATCCGCTCTCTACACCCGTCCCCCGCAACCAGACTCATCATCGTCGGCTCCTCCAGCGGCGGCCAGCTCGCCGCCGCCGTCTCGCAAGCCGCGCCCCGCGGATCCCTCCACGGCGTTCTCTTGCGCTGCCCAGTCACCAGCGACGGCGGGAGCTCTCTGGACTATGTGCCTCCTTCCTTGCGACACGCGTATACCTCCTCCACCTCGCCGTCCTTCGTCACGAGTTTGTTGGGCGTCTTCTCGCGCGCTGTCCCGCGCGACGGGCTGGAGAGGATGCCGCTTGAGGCTGGGGCGGAGACGCTGGCTGCGCTGCCGAGGACGTGGGTGCAGGTTTGTAGTAATGACACGCTGTACTCTGACGGTGTTTGTTATGCATTGGCGCTTGCGGGGGCGGGTGTCGAGGTGAGGGTTGAGGTTGTGAGGGGGTGGCCGCATACGTTTTGGTTGAAGGCGCCTTGGTTGACGAGGGCTATCGAGGCGGAGGAGGAGATGGTTTGTGGGTTGAGGTGGGTTCTTGGAGGGTGAAGATGGGGGGGGAGGTTTTCGGATCTAGGTTGAAGTGGTCATTTGGAGGGTGTTCTCTTGGCGGATGACTCGATTCGAGATTATTAGGCGTGGCGATGGAAAAGTAGATTGCGAGAGGTTGTCTTGGAGCGTCGGTTTGTGTCTCATGATTCTAGAAAATGAAAGGACGAGAAGAGCTTTCAATGGGCTCGTATTATCTGGGCGATCTGATGTAGTGATAGTGTTCTGTCTGTGAAGATTCAGTCCCTTCGCGAGGAAGCGCATTTTGACCTGTCGGTCTACTAAAACGAGGCGGTCTTGCGACACGCTGGTAATTTGTCGCCTGGATCGACGCAAGAGATACTCGGTCTCAAGGAGTCTCGCCGGCGGTCGGCAAAGGGTTGTGATCGTAGGTGGCTGGTGGTTTGGGCATATTCGAAGCCGTCTAAGGATTGACTGCCGAATTCCATTAACGAAGGAACCGTGTTGCAAATATAGACTTCCGAGCTGATTATATCCATTCTTTCTCTAGATATCAATGGATGAATGGGAAGACTGACTGCGACCATGACCCTACGTACGACTCTCGTCGTATTGAGCTCGTAAGTCCATGTCGAAAGATCTGTTATGTTTTTGCTTGCCCTGGTATTTCCGTACCATTAAGTTGGCTAAGCATGATGATGGCCCATTATGGAGAGGACACTAGCTTGCATGGCCTTGGCTGGTATTGTCGATATCGTCAGAGTTTGGTCTCATGAACCCTGATTGACATGATCGATGAGATCAAGAAGCAGCTCAAGACTGGGCTCCAAGTATTAGAGCGTTAGTTTGTTTCTATGAATGAGAAGAGGTTAAGGTCTCACCACCCCCAGAAAACTACGGCTCGGCGACAATGGACTGGTTCATGAAATCGGTAAAAGCTCAACCAAATGATGCTAAGATTCCATTTGACAGGAGGCCTTGTATACATAATGTAATGAGCTATCCAATATTAGTTCTTGAGATAATGCCAGTGGTTGTATGGACGCCTCGTTGAGCCCGGCCTGGCTCTCAGGTGTTGGCACTCACTGCACCATGGAAGGCCCAAGTGACGACCTCATAGCTCTAGATGGTCTGGAAATCTCAAGATACCTGCCATATTTATGGGCTATATTAGAAGGAAGGGGCCGATTATCATTATGAGGACTTTCTTTGAGACTATTGCAATCACATGACGGGCTGTTTCCTAGGTAGCGAAAAACAACATCTTGAGACTTCACTCACCGCCCACACACGTGCAACTATTCACATCCCACTCTTTTATTCCCTCTTTTGGGATTCAGTCTCTCCTTCCTTCTGCTCCCTTCTGCGCTTTCCTTGTGAATATCTTTCTCACTGCCTGAGTGACCCGCCAGAATTATCCCGCCTGCCGGCCAGATTATTTATTCCCTTCTTTTCTCTTCCACCCACCACTTCCACTTCTTCACCCACACAACAACCCATCTATGAGAATTCCTCACTTCAAACAAACAAAATCACCAACAAGATCCTCCAATCAACCCACCCACTACCAACATTCACAATGGCTGGTGAAAACGGTGACGCGCGCCGCAAGGGAGGCGAGTACTCGACCAACCCCAACACTCAGCGCACTCGAACCTACCTCGCCAACCAGACTCCTGAGCAGAGAGCCCTCAAGTCCAAGGTCTTCTCCGAGTACCGTGCCTTCCGCACCACCTGCATCAAGCGCGCCAGCATGTCCGACTACATCTACGAGCGCGACCGTGATGCCAAGGTCAAGATGCTGTCTGACGCCCTCAACAAGCTTGTTGCGAACCGGTAAGCAGTGCTGTTTGTTGTCTTATCACCTCGCCTTCTACCAGTTTTGCCTCTCCCATTGTTTTCAATTCCAATCATTCCTACTCACTGCTCTTGTTCTTCATCCATCATGCGGCTTTATGAACGAAACCGCATCCTCTTATTATCTATTCACTACTCCAGTTCTTTAGCTTCTATCAGCCTTGGCTTTCCCATAGTCTGCAGTTTCCCTCATTTCTACTTAGCACTCCTGTCCTTCACTTTCTCATGCGGCTTCACGTGTGAAACCGCATCCCCGGGGAAGGAATATATACTAATGATGAATAATAGTACTGCCCGCAACATCCAGTACATGGGCCAGTCTGTGAAGCGCTTTGCCGAGCGCTACCATGACAAGGCGTTCCTTCGGAGCGTTGAGCAGGCCAACGCCTCGCCTGCCCCTGCTCAGAAGAGCACCACTGGCACCACTAGCCCTGGCCAGCAGGGCTCTGAGGAGGAGAGCGCCAACAATGGTGGCACTGCGGCCGCTGACATCTCGGAGGAGTTGACCACCATCAGCCAGCTTCTCGACATGCAGGCTAGAGCCAGCATGGAGACCTACAACGGCCTGACTGACATCATGCGCGGCCTCGGCTTCTAAGGAAGCACTACATACATGTACACTGGGCACACTCGACACTCTTGGGATTGGACTGTCTTCTCTTCTTGGCGGATCTTCTTGAGCTTTCTGTTTTTTCGGGTTCCGACTTGGGATATACGAAGGGTTTAGGAAGGAGTGCTGGATTGAGAAAACCCCGGTGGACTACATGGGACGGCTTGAAAACGCGATACCAGACGGGTTTTAAGGAAATGCGAATAAAAGACATGTTCGCCTGAGCAATAACTTTGACACAAGACCAAGTGATGCATATGAGGTGTGATGTTGGGAAGGCAAGTCCTTTGGTGGAGGATTGAGCTGAGCGATTGAACACAACAATTTACGACACGTCTACTTTCTTGACCTTTTCTACAGGATTACGTGGTCCACGCGACACGAGTGAGATCTCTGTACTACATTGTGGGCAAGTATCTTGGGGAAGGTGATCATGACATACCGGACATAGGTCTGATTACATCACGCGTGGCTGGCAGGTACAATGGGCCGAATGACGACAAGTGTAGAAATGATGGTCGTCGATGAGGGGACGTGACGTGAGGTCAAGCATGACTCGAGGTCCCGCCAAGCCTCAATATATGCATGTGCAAGGAACCTTGTGTTATGATTCTCGACCCAAATCACTGGACAGCGGCGGGATCGAGGCGGGACATCTCATCGTGTAACCAACCCCATTCTCCCCCACGACCACCAAAGCATGCGAGATGAGGCTGAGGCGGAACATCCTAAAGCTGGCGGAGTGGATGGTGATTTGATGGCATAGCCACTCAAAATGCCTAGCTAAGGGTAAATTGTATATTCAACTGTAAGGTAGAATTGAGCATATCTCAAGTAATAGAAGGGTCACATCGAAATGGTGGCGCGTCAATACCTCGTCGTCGGATGGAGGATGTCAGATTAAAGTCAAGCACGGTTGGAGCACCAGTCGAGGTGGTTTTAGTGTTGTAGCGCGCCGGGTGGAATGTTAGGTACCCACAAACCCCGAAGCGGGCCCAACAGGCTTGCACTAAGGAAGGTACGGGTCCGTTTTGACGACCCCACCTTCCAGGTGCGCGTGGTGGGGCCCGGCGGACCCGGCAGAGACTTGGGCGACTCACGAAAATGCAAAATTGCCTTTTGCTGTCTGGTTTTCTCATCAGAATACATCCACAAGCCCCAACATGAATCTGCCCTGGTCTCGCAAACATCCATCCACAACAGACTCGATAGAGCGAATCGCGCCGATGGTTTAGTGGTAAAATTCTCCGTTGCCATCCAGCAGCGTCGGGGAGCCGGGGGTTCGATTCCCCCTCGGCGCAACAATGGGCGAGTGTCTCTTTTTGCAGGTCTGCGGCACGCGTCCAATTCCGTGAGGAGAGATTGGGCTGCTTCTATCACGTCTTCGTGGTCACGGGACGAACAGCAGGAAGATACCTTGGACAAGGTAAGTACTTAGGTAGCTGAACTGAATGAAAACCGAGGTACCTTACCCTTACCTTATTCGCGGGCAGATCAATACGTTCACATCACTGAGGCCATACTTCATCCTCTGCGAGACCAATGAAGGGGTCTTAATTTTCTGTTGCTCTGCGTCTGCTACGTTTCCTTTCATGTGACCATTAGGTGTCCCACTTTGCGTGTGCCCGTCACGTTGTACGTCTCTACTACCAAGGGACTGAGTAAGGCTAAAACTATGGGATCGGTACTGAAGGGTTTTCTCCGCCTGTCTGACAGGCGATACTAGCATCGCTATCTTTACATGTTTTCCAATCATACTGCTTGTCTCATGCGTAGCCAGCGATAAAATCACAGCTAATGATAAAACCTTGGGCAAGACCTCCTCCGCGGCTGCCCGTCTGAATGAAGACAGAGAGCTCTCTCATCAAGCAGCGGCTTATCCCTGGAAGTATCTAGCTAAGCATGTCGCTGTCTATATTGCTGGGGACAGTTGTACCTGGTGATTCCACTTCGGTGACCCGAACTCTGTAGTCCGCCAAGTCTAGGAGTATAGACTTTGGGCTTCCAATAGCAACGATTAACTAGCTACTCTTGATCCTGTCGACGGTACGTCTTCTCCTTCCACCTCGCTTTATCAACGATACCCTATTTGTTCCTGTTTCGCGTTCGTACTGAAGATGACGAGAGGGGATGGTTTCGATGCAGCGGAGGGCCCCAGGCCATCTTCGTCACCTCTGTAGCTACCCGGATGGCATTTCGCAGCTTGATATGTATGGAGGGCATCCGACCATTGCAAGTGAGAGCGGCCGGCGAACCTTTGCCCGTTATGTCTCTTTTTAACAATTTTTTTTCTTGATTGATTCCTCGCGAGGAAATCATAGAGCCCGGGTAAATGAAGGATTTGGGGTGTCGCCATCAACTTATACCCCCTTCCAAGCACAATTTCACGTTCATGTCCACGGGCACCTCCCACAAACTATTTCCTGATAAGTTTACCTGTCTCCGTCTAACTCTCATTCCCTTGCCTTCTCCCCTCCTCTCTTTTCACTCTTTCCCACAACAACACCTCCGAACGATAATCCTTTCTTCAGCGTCCCCAGTCCGGCAGCAACCATCACTTCTGCGCCACAAGTCTCCCACCATCTTGTTTGCATGAGTTGAATTGGTAGATTCTTCCTCTCTCACTCAGTTGGTGACTTGGCCGGCCATTCGGCCTTCTCTCCCTTTCACAATCCCGCATCTTTTTACCACCATCTTATCGACGAAGCGATTTATCACTTTCATTTGGCACCAAACCTCCCTCTACCCATTATGGATGAGTTGGCCAACCGTAACGCAGCCGTCAGGAGATATGCGCCTGGAGAGAAGCTCGGCCTCATCACCCATGACCCATCGGAGCCATTTGGCTTGGTGGATTTCCCGCCCTTCCAAGACGACTACCAACCGCGCTCGCTCCAGCCTACAGCGGAGGAGCTCAAGCTGAAGAAGCCCCAGCTCAAGATCGTGGAGCCACTGCGAGCCGGCAGAGACGTCGGCTCTCAGATTCTGGTCTGCAAGGTCGTTCGAGCACCTACGGACCGCAGCAACATCAAGAAGCATGCACCCTTCCCGAGTTTCCCCAAGCACAGCAAGGTGAGGCGAGGAGACAGCTTCGTCGTCGCAAAGGTATTCGACCCTCGCCTGTATCCACCGCGCGACACCATCGACTTGCCCAACGAGCCCCCCTTTGACGACGCCACCGTCGCGTACAGCGAGCTCTGCCGCGAGGCCGCGGTGTACCAGTTCTTCTACGAGAAGGGAAAGTCCGGACACCCTCACATGATTGCTCAATACTACGGCTGCTGGGTCAACAACCGCAGGGTTTTCGAAGACGCCGTGACTCCAGACACCTGGGTTGGTCTCATTCTCATCGAGTACATTGAAGGTCTTTCGATTAAGGCAATGTGCACTCGCGACCGTCGCACAGGGTACCTCCAGCCGCCGCTAGGCAGGCCTGTTTCACTTCATAGCGATCACGAGGCGGAGGGTAAGGGCCAGGCCAAGATGCTAACACTGGATCGCCAAGTGTGCTTGGACGCCATCAAGGACCTCCTCGGTCAGGTCGTTGTCTGCATGCATCTGGGCGTGTCCGTCCCCGACATCTTTCCCCGCAACGTCTTCCTCACGATCCGCAACAATGGCCACGACCTCGAGACGCCCCGCGTCGTTCTACTGGACCACACCTTCTCAACCGTATGGGCGCACTCCAGGCCTGGCAAGGAAGGAGTACCAGCCCCCTTTGGCGACCTCGAGCTTCCTCCTCACCCTTGGGAACAGTGTTGCGTCAGCGCTGTCAGTGAGTTCCTCGGCTGGATCCCTCCACAGTGGAATGATAGGAAATGGCTGCCGGCGAAGACTTCCCCTGCCGCCACCGCTCCGGCAACCGGTCGAGCTTCCGACGTGCCCGGGGTCACTGAAGAGACGTGAATCGCAAAGTCGTTTAGTGACTGGCTCTTGGACTGTTTCGGTCCTCTGAATGACAGCAACCTATACTACACCGTATACCCAGAGGAGGTCTCTGACAGTGGCGAGGAAGATGAAGAGGGAGTCGACATCTTAGACGAGGAAAAACCCGAACCAGACGTGGAGACCGTGATTGAGGTAAGTCCGTCAAACCCTTCACCCCGACAAAATGCGCCTCTCAAGTTGTTATTTGCTGACTTTCTTCTTCAGAATCCACAAGAGCAGGCGTATGCGGAGATGCTAAGACGACGAAGAGAATGGGGGGGGTTTGCGTACCCAGGATGCCTCGATCCCGCAAGGCCCATGCCTGCGCCCCGCCCGCATCCAGGGCATCTCCTCCCGCTCACCCACGCGCAAGGCCGAAGCAGAAGGAGGAGAAGGAGGAGGAGGAGGAGAGCAGGAACTCTCAATGACATCAACCAGCCTCACGTCCCAGATCGCCAACAGCCCCTCTCGCCAGTATCTTGGCGGACTCATTGTTCGGGAAGCCACCGGCTCGGGCTCGGATAACGACGACGAGCAGCAGCAACAGAAGCCGCCCGCGCGGTCTTGATGCCCCAGGGTGTAGGGGTGACAAGAAGGCCCAACTTTCTCTCACCCAGCTGCGAGTCGTGATCGATTTCGGCTGATGGGATATCGGCGTACCTTGGCGAGGTTGTGAAGACGGCTAGCTTACTAGATTTCTGTTGGATTTGAAACGAGGGAGGGGGAGGGGATAGGGTTTGGACCATCAGTTTTGATATTTCTCGCATTGCTTGGCTTTCTTCTTCTTCGCTTTTTTTTCAAGGTAGATCTACACCGTCTATCATTCTTTCCCCAAAAAAGGGGGGGGAAAGAAAAGTCAGTTTTGCTCTTCCATCCATTCTTCCAAACCAAGTCTTCTCCGTGTGATGTCTCGTGAACTGTTGCCTCTTCAATCATTGCGTACCACTCGCCTCACCATGAAAAAACGGGATGTAAGATACCGTGTCGAACAGGGAGGATGTTGAGAGTTTGAAGGTCATTAGACCTCCAAAAACCTCAGGAACATAGCTTCATCTAGATTCGGTTGTATTTCTTCTGGAGCTTATTCTAGGTCATATAAACTCTAAAGGTATCATGAGAACAATGTTGACGAAAAAAGGCCATGCATTAGCCCCGGTTTCAACGTGGAGGGGGAAGAAAATGCAAAAGTCGTCAAATTCCAATCCATCCAACAAATGCATACCTGGGCCTCATTCCCACGTGAAATATGCTACCCGACTCATTGGGAAACCCCGTCCAGTGGTGGATAAACCTTGTAAGACGCTGCGATGCAATGCACGTGTAGATCCCCTAAACACCAACTCCATGCAGAAAAATAATCAGAGAAGGAGAGAAAAAAACAGACAATGCGCCTCTAAAACTTCTCCATAAAGTTCTTCCTCACAGTCCACATGCGCGCCCGCTTCCCGTAGATGAACATGGGAACCGTGGCAAACAGGAAAATGAGCTGAATCACGCCCAGCCAGATAAACACCATCTTGGGTCCGTCCGAGGTAAGCCAGTGCGTGACAAACAGACTAAACACGAGACCGTGGAAAATATTCTTGCTAAAGTTGAGGGTGACGAGCGCCTCGCCCGCGTATTGCCGGTAGCTATCGACGCAAAAGGTAATGGACGTCGTGGACCCCAGCGTGCAGCCGAACGAGATGAGGCCAAAAAAGATGGTCGGAACGATCCAGTGGTCGCGCTCCTGCGCGGACCAGCCGAAGCCCATAAGGCCGATGACGGTGGTCACGAGCACCGGCGCCGCCATGACGAGGCGGAACTCTGGCTCGTAGAGGCCGCCGTTGCGGCGCGCCATGGCCTTGACGATGATGTCGCTCACTTTTCCTGCAACGGCGGTGCCGAGGATGCCACCGACAAAGGGGGATAGGTAGACGAGGCCCGTCTGCAGGGCGTCAAAGTTATACGACGCGCGGTTGCGGTAGATTAGAGCGACCGACTCAGAGACGACAATGAGCCAGCCGACGGAGAGGGAGTAGACTGCGGCTGACCACAACACGGCGGGATAGGCGAAGAGGACAAAGGGCCGGAGCATGACCTTGAACCAGCTGTCGTGGTTCAGACGGCCGTTCCAAGGCTTGAGCTGCTCGGTGAAGGATTTCGCCGGTTGGTGACGGAGGGTGTGGGTGTAGGCTAAGGCCTTCGGCGGCGAACTGACGTCGGACGCTTGCATTTTGAATTTTTCGCTTTCGATAGCTGGGGCGTTGTGGAAGTAATCCGATCCGGAGGTGGGTGTGCCGGACGCACCAGATGTCCGAGAGACGGGCACTGGGTTGGAAGAGTCCGGCGTCTCATCCTTGGCGCCTTTCGCCTGCTTGTCGATGCTGTCATCCTGTTTCTCGTTTGGGTCTGGTGCAAATCCAACGTGGAGGTCCTTGTGCGTATGCGAAGCAACGTGGGGCGACTGTGGTGCAGGGCTCGTTGCAGCTACAACGGCATCTTCATGAGCGTCGTGGACCTGGGGAACGTGATGGCGTGATGAGAATCGGTGAGCAAAGCTCGGTCTGCGGGATGGCTTTCGTGACTTGGGGAGCGGTGTTCGGTCCCAGAAAGTCTCCGGCACGAACAGAAACAGGAGCACGCCACAAAAGGCAACAATCATGGCAACAATCCTGACGACATATTAGCAATAAAGTCTTGTGAAACCCGTACGTATCGACTGCTTACCAGAAAGTCCAACGCCATCCAAGACCTTGAATGATGAGGGCGCTGACGAGCGGGATGAGATTCTTGCCGCCGAGCAGCAGGAGTGTATAGATGCCGATCCGGAACGCTCTCTCATGAAGGAAGAAAATTTCTGCAATGGTGGCTGAGGGAAGACACTCCACGGGACTGACAGCAATACCCTGAAAGATTCTGGCCAAGATGAGAGAGGTGAAGTTTGGTGACAGGGCTGCCCACACGGAGCTGAGGATAAAGATGACGGAGCTGAAGAGGTAAACGGGCCTCTTTCCGTACAAAATAGCCGTGGGAGAAAAGATGACGGAACCGAGGCCCATGCCCATCATGTACAGACCTGTCGTCAGGGAGACTGTCTCGGTCTCGATGTGGTAGTCCTCGGCGACGTTGGTGAAGCCGGCGGCAAGCAAGGGAGTCATGCCACCACCGACCATGCAGTAGAAGCCAAGAGACAGAAGAGCGCAATCGCGCCGCCATGAAGGCCAGTTAAGAGGGTCATTTGCAGACTCCTCAGGCTGGGGGTTGAGGATGATTCCGTCCTTGGTCGTCTTTGCATCGGGCTCAGGTGGGGCCGCGTTGGCCGGAGACTGGCGGCCGGTTGGTGTGTCTACCGGCTCCGGGAAACCAGTGGGGATGGATGAGTGGGAGGTCCTTGCGGGCGCGTTGCGTAAGCCGAGTGGCTCGTTGCGATGCGCAGCGAGGAGAAGCACAGAACCTGCAGGGCTGTCAACTTGGTGGCCTTGGCATGGGCGGGAAACCGAAAAGGGGGTTGCTTACCAGGGACTTCAATCGTTTTGGGGTCGTTGAGAACACCCATACTCCATTTTGGAATATTGGCATTCTCGTCATCTGTGGCTTCGGCACTGTCGGATTTGTTCTTGTTCCCAAAGACGCCACCGAAGCGACTCTTCCACGTGAGAACACCCGCCATTTTGACGTGTTCTACAGGATGTCTTCCCAGCCAGGGGCAGCAGGGCCAAGGAACTCTGTTTGCTGTCGCTTTGATTGACTACAACGGCAACCTATGCGGATTCTGTTGATGGGAGAGGGAGGGGAAAAAAAACAAAAAAAAAACAGCAAAAGGACGAGCGAGAAGGGTCAGGTGAAAAAAAAGGATGTCGTTGGGCACGAGGGGTCGACGGAAAATTTGTCCTAAAATCGGTCGAGCATAGTCTGTTTGGTTCGACCGTGCATCCAAAAGATGAGATAAGGTTGCAGATGTCCAAGAGCCGGATGAAGGAAGATGCCGAGACAGTACTACTATGCGCTTTCAGAAGAAACACAAAATTTTCTGGAAAGCCCTGCGCCGGTGCGAGACGATGTATGCGGAGGCGGTGGAAAAGCAACAACTCTGGAAAGAGATCTTGAATGGAGGAGAGGAGGGAAGAAGCGGGAGATGTGGGGTTGAAGAGGTGTCGGCGCAACGAAGCTGTCGATAGAAATAGCGTTTGGATGTCAACAACGAGGCCAACCTCGATGGCAGATGATGGGCTGCGCGCAGTGTGAGGGGAGAAACTATCCAGGTCCGTGCAGAGCGATGGCGTCAGACTGGTAACGCGCCGTTTGATTGTGATTAAGAGAGCGAGAGGGGCTGCGTCTCACGTAGGGGCAGGCGACCAGGAGATCAAGGATGAACCTCGAGCTTTATGTTGGTGTGAAGAGGGACGCAATGTTATCGTGCCCTGGCAAACCGCAAGCCGCAAGCCTGGGGGAATGGAACATGGGATGGAAATGAAATATCGGCGCTTGGTTGTCAGGATTGGCCGGCCGCCGAGTCAAGCAACGCGCACAGGAGGCAAGGAAGACGAGATGCAATTCATGCCCAGCAGCAGCAGCAGAAACAGCATCAGCGGTATGGCAAGGTATCCGTAATAAAGTACCAATAGGACCGTATTCGTACGCAGTACGGAGTACATAGTAGTGGAATATTCGCAGTAGCTTGCAGGCTCGTAGAATCAGCTGCTGGGGTTTTCTGTTTGTGGGTGCCAGGTGCGTCGCGTCGGGCGGGTTCCGTGGGGAATTTTTTGAGCAACTGGAGGGGTCGAGATGGTCCTTCATCCACTGGATAGACTCGACGCGGCCTAGACAGATTGGCAGGTGACTCGACGTTGGCGGGTGCGTGCGACGGGACTGCGCGCTTGAAGTGCGATGATCGATCAAGGATTCAAGGATGGATGCGGCGTTGGCGGCGAGGGCGGCGGTGTCTCTCCTCAGTCCTGGCAGCCCGCAGCCTGCAGGTTGTATCCGTACTTTCCACTTTTGTAGTATTGGCACCAGGCAATATGCAGCAGAAAGCCTGCGGGGGGGACGCTTGAGAGGCACTTGAAGACTGGAGGATGGCGGCGACAGCCTTGGTGGACAAAGGAGGTGAGGAAAAAGGGCCACATGTCCAACTCCAAATCCCGCCCACAGCCAATACGCGTCTGCATGCTGGCCCCGGATTGCAGGACCCCTAAAAGCGAGGCTAAAATCCCTTGCTCAAGTCCGTGGGTGACTGGGTGGGTGACAGGGAGACTTCCAGGTGCTGGCAGGTTGCATCCTCTCCACTTGGACCATGTGAATCAGCGGTCGAAGATGGTGGCGACTGGCGAGGGCGGTGACACCAGATCCATCATCCAAGGAATATCCAATAATCCAACTTTCACCACCCATCATCCGGCGCTGTGCGGGCGATGGGCGGCTACTCCAACGTTGTTGACAGTACGGATAGACTTCCAGGTTCCCTCGTCCAGTCACCGAAAGTTGAGAATACGCAGTCAGGAAGCATAGTGTACTATAAGTAGGTATTCGTCAATGTCGTGGGGTCTCGGAGCAACCCGAGCAGTGCCAGACCACCACCACCACCATGGCACTATCTGCATGTTTGGTCGTCTCTGCTGACCTCGGACTCGGATGTAATGGAGCTTTCTTGTTTCTCCCCAAAGTGAGACCGACCCCATGGTGAGATTCGTGATGGAGGGATGGGCGGGCGCATGTGTTATTTCTGTGGCCTGCCCGTCGCATAGAGAAAGGTTGGGTGAAGCGCGTGTGTCTGATGTAGAGCCTCGTCGTTGTCTTGCGCCGCAATTAAAATGCGGCTGAGTGGTTTGACGGAAAATAAGACAAGGACTAATTAATCGGGAGCCTCCCGTCGTTGGGCAAGAAGTACGGATACGGAGCACCTGCCAAGCCAAGCCTGGGCAGTTGCGCAGAGTGCGAAGTGCGACAGCAATGGAAGCTGAAGACAAAATCAGCAGGCGCCATGTCTGGGCGCCCAGGATGCACCTGCACTTCCCTTGCTTTACCGCACTTGCCGTTGGTGTCCTCATTCCTTGAGTCGTTCCTTCCCTGAGGTACGCTTCCCTGGGGCCTGAGGTGGATCCCTGCAGAATCTTGCTTATGTCATGCAGCCTCCCTCAAGGTGCCCTTCCGTGCTGTCACTGCCGAGGTGTGTGCCTCGCTGTGCCTCGACGTCATCGTGCCGCGCTCACGCACGAGTCGCGACTACCTGACCCCACATATTCCTACGCCGCCTTCCCCAATGGAGCCTGCCGTGGTTAAAGCGTGACGGCGCCTGTCAGGAAGGAAGGTGCAGCTCTTGTCAATGTTGATTGCGACCGAACCTCCAGATGAACGTCGGAGTTCCCCGTTATTGACAACGACAGCTACCTGCCTCAAGTAATACGACCTACCTATCCTAAAACATTCCCTCCCTACCTTAAGCCTCGACTAAACTGTCCAGCTGCTCGGAAAACCGTTGACGCTACATACATAACCATCCATCCATCCACCTCCCTGTACTATATCGAACCATTGGCTTCAAAGATATCTTTGTTAGCTCGCTCCATACCATAGGCACTCCAGTAGCTACCACCTGCAGCCCTCCACTTGTTCTTGTCCAAGAATTCTGTCGCATCTCATCGGTACGGCTCGCATCACAACACATCACGGGATAATCTTCGACGACGTCAGTCGGCAGCACACTGCATATATCCTTGGCATCTGGACAGACCAAGGTACCCAAATAATCGACATTCACCATACTCCGTATACTGCAGTAGAATCACCATGCAACTGCTACGACATACCGCCCGCATCGCTTTCCGGGGCTGCAACACCAACCTCACCAATGGCATCCGTATGCCACCCCCCAAGCAATCCATCTCTGCCGCCGCTGCCCACTTCTCCACGTCTCGTACCAGCCCGGCCAAAAACCAGATCTACGCATCGTAAGTGGGCCGCCGCAGATTCTCCAAGCTCTCTATCCAATCCTTGCCCTGGCCTCTCCTCTCGAAAGCACCCGCCCGCTAACCTCTGCTTCGGGTGCCAGTGTTCGCCGTCCTGACGACTTCCACACCTATCAACTTCTCTCTTCCTCTTCTCGCACACCACTGATAACACTGTGGACCACGTCTTGGTGCGGGACATGTCGAGTCGTTGCCCCTCTGATACAGTCCATCATAGAGTCTGGTGTCGGTGAAGCCGAGGGCGGCGTTGGCTATTGCACCGTCGAATTCGACTCTCCCGACGTCATGAGCGGAGGACTGGGCATGACCTACATGATCACTTCCATCCCGACTCTGCTAAGCTTCGACAATCAAGAGGCTCAAATACAGACCAAGGTTCACGACGCCAAGAAGCTGACAGACCGCGCTTTCCTTGAAGAGTGGATCCGGTCTGAGGCTCGGCGGCACGGCCAGCGCGGAGGAGGCGGGGGATCCGGCGGCGTCTTTGGAGGACTGTTTGGCGGTTTCAAATAATCAAGACGAACGGTCGGTTGGTCACCAATCGGACGTGCCTCCAGCGAAACCATGTGCCTGGTGCATCTGGCGGCACAAGGCAGACAAGGTCACCAAACGTGATCAAAACGAAACGCTCATCATTCGGCTGGTCGTTGACTAATAATGCAATCCACTCGATCCCCCCATCCCACCAAACTTTTTTCTCTTTCAAGGCGTGTAGAACACCTCCTCGACGGGCTTCCACCACGCCGGCTCGCCTGCCTCACTGCTCACCGCGCCGGGAACCAGAGACTCTTGCCAGCCGTCGGTCATGGCCCACCATTCGCGGACCTTGGGGTTCTCCTTCATCTTCTCCATGTCTCCGGCAAAGTCGTAGCCGACGTACTTCATGGTTGCAAACAAAATACGTGAATCGGGCTCGTGCCAAATGCTGTCTGTTGAGAGTCAGCCTTTGTGAAGCTTGAAAAGTCATGGCGACGTCGGGGCTCGCAGTCTGCCGTGTTGAGGCCGACACCGGCGGATGACCTACAGTCGACAATGTTGCACTCCTTGATCTGCTTGAGCACCTCGGGCCACACGTTGGCGTGAACCTCCTTGTACTTATCGATGAACTCGGGCTTGAGCTTCACAATCTGGGCAATGCGACGACCGGGGTTCTTCTGTCTGGAGGAGACGGGCGCAGGAGCCTCCACCTCGGTTGGGCTACCGGGCGCGGGGGGAGAAGAACGTTTGTTGGACCACATGATGCTCGTTGGACGCGTTTGAAGGGTTCGTCGTCGATGGCGGAGGTGGTGAAGTTTTTGCTCGCAAAATGTGCTCGGCGGAGGGCTGACCCAAGTGCGTCCCGTGGACTCGGCCGTCGGCCTGGCGAAGCTGGAGCGTCTGCTTAGAGCCGATCGATCAGCGGGGGGTGGACTTGGACTCGAGAGTCGACGGCCGGCGGAGAAAACGACGGAACTCGGCCAAGTCGGGGGAAGAATGTCGCGAGGCGGGGCGCGAGGGGTAAACAGAGTGCGGGGATTTGGGGAGGGGGTACCACGACGGATATTCGTCCACACCAACAAACACACTGCGCAGATACACGGCACACGCCCAAGTAATTCTGCAGCGCGGGATGGAGGAAACGGCTGCGCAAACAATCGCTACACACAAACACACACACACACAATGATGCACACCTATCTGTTGGAGAGCCGTTGTTGCGACTGTGATGCGTGAAGAGGCCGCTGAGCGACGTGAGAAGAGAAGACCACGAGGAGGACACTCTCTTAAATACTGGCGCCGGAAGTATCTTGTTCTCTTCCGCTTCATCCGTCGGCCAAATCTCGTCTTTGGTGCGATGTACGGTAGACAATACGGCAATACGTCGTACGGTTGGGACACGGATTAGTCAACTGCAGCAATCTGTTGGGCGGTAATCATGGGGATCGCGATAAGTCCGGTTCGCCCGCGCGGGAGATGCATGGCAGGCCTGACAAGCTTCTTATACACCCGTCCACCCAACTCAAAGGTGTCCATTCCTCCTCCTCGGTCCAGCAAGCCTGCAGCAGTCGCAGCAGACCTTAGTACCGGGGCCCCGCGTCAGGTGCTCCACGGTGCCGCACCGTCTGAAGTCGATAATGATCTGAGCGTCTCCGGGCGCGTCTCACTGACCTCACTGAATTTTGAGAGTCTTGTATCTTGTCAGCCCTCCAACCTAGAATAATCGTATCCGCGGGCCGCAGGAGCAACGGCGGATGGGCTGTCAAGGTTCCAAGTCTGGAACGGGATGCTCGAATTAACCCAGCCAGTAGAGTTCCTTCGAACTGCCTCCATCCCTGACACCTTTCCGACCCCAGTCAACCCGGGTTTCCGGTCTCGACTAAAATGGATTCACGAACTCAACACCCCCACGAAACCGCACGGAATTCCCTGTCCCAGCCTTGATGGGGGGGGGGGTTTCCCCCATTTCTCCGATTGCGGTCCGTATTCTGTGTGGTCGTCCGCTCCCTCACGGCTCTGATTTCTATTTACCCGTAACGTGCCGCGCGTATCGTGCGTTGCTTGCGTATGGCCTGGTTTATTAATCTGGCCCGATGGCGCTGACCGAGAGAGGTGAAAGGTCAGAGGTGCGCTTGTCGCGTGCGCCGATGGGTGCGGAGCTGACGTCGGTTATCTGCCCGCATATGGCGGGGTTCTGATCGGCGAATCATGGCATTCCATGCTGCATGGGTCCGCGGACGATTAGACTGCTCTCGTGGTTGCATTGCATGCCCAGTGGTCGCCGTGAGCTTATGCTGTTCTACTTCACAGGCTTTTAGAAGTGCTAGTAGCCTGTATGATGTCTCATTGCGAGTAAAAGTTAAGAAATATGTATGGTTCTCTTGAGATACAACGCCGAGGGTTCTCAGACTAGAGTCCCCCCGTCACGTCACGCATGAAGCTACGTTATCTTGTGAGCATGCAGCAGGGATGAAGTTGAAATGTCTTTTTTCTTCAATTTTTTATTCTAGGCTTTCTTTCATCAACCATATTTCAGCCCACGATCGAGATACTCACACAGAAGTAGGGAACACGTACTGGTGCCAGCGTCTTTTGGATGAGATGAGGAAGAATCTGCGCGGTGAGTGGCAAGCCCGCTTAGATATCGGTCTAGGTTAGTGATGGGGAGTATACCGTGGAACTCGTGCTTTTTTGAGGATATCATCTTCGAACATAGGGTAAGGTAGGTAAGGCATGTTGCTTTGGAGCTGTCGTGGGCTTGAGGGGGTGAATCGTATGAAGACTGAACCGTTCCGCCATAAGCTGATCATGGAAAGTAAGAGACGGATTTACGTCATCTGTAGGTGCTTTGACTTGGATAGATAGTTTGTGATTTAGAAATACGTGTTTCCTTCCGGGATATGGTGTCGTGGTGATGTGTGAGAGGTGGGCAGGCTGAGCGGATGCTATGATAGTATGTCGTTCAATACCTTTGCTCTGTTTCTACTATTCCCTATTTCTCACTGCTGCTGCTGCTATGATCACTACTTATTCCCTATCTAAAGTACGCTTCAGAAAGCATATATCAATTATAATAGTTATGGTGGCTATAAGAAGGGGGCTAGTCGTGTTTTGGTCAGCAATCTATTCGGTCACCCACTTGCCGGCTAATGAAGAGCTATAAATTCGAGGGTACTTGCGGCTTCTTATCACCTACGCCACGTTATTGCGGAGAGATGGTGCAAGATCCTCGTACACGTCTACTTTTCAATCATCTTACTGAGGAGATAGAGTACAGCTCACTATTTTCAAAGGGAATCATTCGCTTGTAGCCTCTCAGTCAGTCTCGTGGCTGGTCGAATCAAAATGTGATTGATGCCGACATACGTTAAATTTACGGTACCCGCCTTCTCTGCCAAAGTTCAACACTTCCATATCTTCCTCATTTAATCCGGAGATTTCCAGGGCAAGGGATTTCGCCTGCAGGTTGATCTTCAAGTCTTTCTTCCTATCAAGCAGAACTCCAGAGAACCTGCGAATTTCGGAAATCACCAAAATAATAAGAAAAGAGATGATCGGAACGCGTCTTCAAAAGCTCGAGCCAGCAGTAAAAGAATCATGTAAAGACAACCCCTTCCCTCTTCCAATGGGATGGGATATCGGTTACAAGACTGTTTGCCCAGCCTTCCCAAGGTGATTCCACCAGTAGTTAAACCTCAGCTGATTCGTGACTGATAGAATAAAGTATATTCATCGTTGCTTCCAAGTTGAGTAAATTCAAGAACATCGCGGAGCCTCCAAACCTACCTAGGTCCACGATTCTGAAGACGTCACGCCCCAGAACTATTCCAACCTCACAAGTCACATTCCTCGTGGCCCGTCATCGGAAACATCCTCACCCCGGCCGAACACGGACCCCCGGACCCAGAACCGGCCCCATTTTCCAGATTTACACAACGCCAACAACACCAACCTCCAGCCCTAAGCTACACTCCACTTAACACAAATATAATCTCACTCCCAGGCCCAGCCAGCATCTCAAATCACGAGTTCACCTCGTCAAGCGTCGATGGTTTAGTGGTAAAATTCTCCGTTGCCATCCAGCAGCGTCGGGGAGCCGGGGGTTCGATTCCCCCTCGACGCAACTCTTTTGAATGTTCCATTGATGTACACGCCGGGGCGACGTCGTGGGTTGCGGATTTTTGGATTTTGGTATTTTTGGGGTGGAGTTGAGGTGAGTGAGGTTGTGTGCTGCGGGGTCGGAGGGGGCCCACTTCATAAACACACGAGTTTGCAAAGTGGAAAGATTGCAAGGACGAGATGATGGGATGGATGCTCGGTGAGGTCAGTCAATATGCAGTGGCATGTTGCCGCTAAACAGATGTTTGTAGGATCACATCATGGCAAAGTGGTTGGCTGCGAAATATACTTTGAAGCTTGTTCATATTCATGGGGGAGTTGTCTTTTGCGGTCTAGAACAAAGTCGATAGACAGACTTGCAAAATTCAATCAACAATATCAAACTGACAACTTGTTGCACCAGCTCTGTTGACCAGAGAGCAAGTTGCGGGTGTGTTCTAAAGGCTGATTTAATGTAACAACATAGCTCCCATGAGCCTATTCGTTCAGATACCAAAACATGATCCAGGCTGTGTGAGCATTCGCATACACTCTGCCAAAGCACGCCCTTGCCAAAAAAGCCAACTACCTGCACAACCAGCAAAATGAAATGTCCCTAGCAAGGCTCGAACTTGCGACCTTTGGATAACCCCCGGGATATTTCCTAGAGTCATATCTATTTGATATGAGACCAACGCTCTACCGACTGAGCCATAGAGACGATCTTGTGTGGGAGCAATCCGGGTGGGTGGTACCAAGAAGCGAGAGAGGGCATCGTGGACGGGGCGGAAGGGGAGGAGATGATTCATTGTGGGAGGGGAACGGGGTTGTGGAGATGGGGGTCTAGGCCAGTCACGACTCACGATCGTGATGGATGGAGAGGGAAACGGGGTCTTTTGATTTCCTCAGCATCGAACCAGGTGTGTATACAAAGACTGTGTGCCCAAGAACGAAACTAGACTCGATATCCCCTCGAGACCACTTCCCAGTCACCCACTTACACAGTACACTCCCACCCACGCACCATCACGGCGCCTCAACCCTGAACAACCTCTCAGCATTCCGAAACGCAATCATCTCAAGCTGTTCCCCCGTCACCATCCCGCTATCCCTCAACTCCCTCATCCACACAAGCCCGTTCTCGTTCTTTTCAAACGGGTAATCGACGCTATACAAAATATGGTCCACGGGCGTATTCCTCAACACGCACGCCAGCGGCGCGAGACCCCACACCCCGCTCGTGGTAACCCACACGTTGCCCTCCCACACCTCCCGCCACCCGCGCCGCCGCGAACCCCACCGCACCGAGAGCTTTTCCACGCGCTCCATCATGAAGGGTAACATCTCCCCGAAATGCCCAATAATGATTTTCAGAGACGGGATTTCGTCAAAGAGCCCCGCGGCAAAGAGCTTGAGGACGGCGAGCCCGGTCTCAGAGTGCCACCCGAAGCCGCTGGATCCCATACTCCGCGCCGCGCCGGGGTCAAAGTTGCCCTCGTACGCGGGCCGCTGACCCTCGGAGGGGTAGGTAGGGTGTAAGTACACCGGCACGTCGAGCTCCGCAGCCGCCTTGAAGACGGGCCAGAAGCGTCTGTCGTCGTAGTGTTGTCCGTCGACGTGCGCGTCCACCAACGCGCCAACGAACCCCAGCTCCCGGACACAGCGCCGGAGTTCCGTCGCCGCGGCGTCCGGGTCAGCCATCGGTAGCACGGCGAACCCTGCGAAGCGGGTGGCGTTGGCGCGTACGGCGGCCGCGAGGTGGTCGTTTGCGAGGCGGCTTAGGTGCGGGGCGCGGGGGCCGAGGCCGGGCGCGTGGGATACGATTTGCAGGCTGATGCGGGTTTCGTCCATGTTGGCGAGGCGGAGGGGCCCGACGTCTTTGAGGCGGGATGCTACTTCGGGGAGGTGTTTGAGTTGTTCTGCGTATATGTCGGAGAGTTCTGTGAAGAGGTCTTCTGCGACGAAGTGTTCTTCTAGGGTGATTAGTTTTGGTAGCGGGTCGGACATGTTTGCGGATTGGGTGAGTCGTGTTTGGACTTTAGAGGGCTTGCTATGTGATGACGAGAAGAGGTTTGAATTATATGAGGTGAGGTTCAAATAGGTGAGATTGCCTCTTAAGTCGTTCGAAGCCAAGGTAGTGGTGGCGGACGCCTCGGCCGACGTCTCCCGAAAGGTGTAACCCCGCATACTGTATTCAGATGAATTCATGTGAGACATGCGGCTCACGAACCTCGACCCAACGAGTTCTTTTGCGTTTTGGTAATCAAGAGCTGTTGAAAGATGTCTCAGTTGCTACTGGCATCTTGATGTGTGGGATTTTATCTGCGAGACTCATTGACGGTCTACCGTGTAGTGTGCTTTATTGTGGACGGCTCTGTCATTCTCCACACCTTCACTCATTAACCATCTTCTAATCACGCAACGACATCTCAAACTTTCCTTACTAGAAAAAAAGCTTGAGAAATTGTGAGACTCTACTGAAGCTGTAGATTCACAGACGATACGACATCCTGTGGCTACCTCCTAACGCTAATATGGTTCCTGTCGAATATAGACCTTTGAGTGAGGGGAAGTCATAGACAGACTTAAAACCGAAACTAGGTAGACTGGTATAGGAGGGCTTGTTGATACAATGTAAACAATGCGTATATGGTACGAATTGATGATGACTCTCTAAGCAGAGTTTCAGCAGTTCAGTTTCAAAGGCTCGGCGCCATATCATCTCGGGGCGAACAATCTCAAGATGAACACCAAGTAAAGTGAAGACCTTGTACTTGATTTGAGACCTTCACGAATATGAGAAGACGTTTGTACTTCCTTAACTCATTAAGTTTATCTAGGGACCCAATATTGAACATCTTCCCAAAAGCCCCGACGAGGAAGTCTCACGTTGAGAATTGAGATTCAAACCCTCTCTGCAAATATGGCCAGAAAGACGCACTATGTATCCACCGTCCTCGTACTTATACGGTCAATCTGAGGGTTAAGCGTCACCCAAATGACAATCACGAAACATGGCCACTGTGCCCGTGGTGATCGTCCGTACCTAGCATCCACCCTTCTGAGTCCACGGAGGAGAGCCCCACTTCAGCGCCCCGGACCCCAGGGCCAAGCCCGCGCGTTCCCCGCCACGACGATCCGAAGCCCCGCGGCTCCCCCAACCTCCCACCGGGAGCCCCTGAGTGTCAGTGCCTGGTACCCTGGGTGCAGCATGCGACTCCCACCGCCTCTAACCCCGCATTCCTGCCCCCCACACCCGGAACGGTCACCGCCGCCTTACACCGACCTCACACGACCACAGCTGAAAGCAAGGCACCTCACCTTACCCAAGCTCCATGAGAATCACGACGCCGCGCCGGTCAAGATAATCTCACCTACGCATCTCACATCACATCTCACTCACTCACCCACTAACTCACTCATCCACTTTCCACACACACACCCCTCATCTCATTCAACTTAACTCAACTCATCCCAATACCTCTACACTTCAAAAAAACAAAAAACAAAGCAATGGACGACCCCTCAACCCAAACAACCAAAATCCTAACCCACCTCTCCAAAACCCTCTCCCTCTCCCCGCCCCAATCAACCCACCCGCCCGCAACCCTCACCGGCCTCCCGACATCACACACCGGCACAGCCTACCTCTTCCTCTCCGTCTCGGCCCACCACCCCCGAATCCAGATTCACTCCTACCCGGCCATCCACTGGGCCCGCGCCTACATCTCCAACATCCCGACCCCGTCCGCCCCGATATCTCTGCCGTCTACACAAGAGACAGCACAAGGAAGGCTCGTCCTAGGCCTCCTCTCCGATGACCTAGCTGGTCCCGCCATCCGCGCCTGCGTGACAAAAGACCTCCTCCACGTCCGCAAGTTCCTCGCGATCCTCTCTCCCGTGTTGGAATACATCATCTCCTCCAATGCAAATGCCAACTCCTCGTCCTCCTCAGCACCGACGACAAACTCCTCGACAGCAATGGACCTAGACGCCCCGGAACCGACAACAACGACAACACCACCCCTACCGAGCTGCCTCCTCCACGGCCTCGCAGGAACACTCTACCTCCTCCGCCTAATTCGCCACTGGGTCCCCTCCTCCGCACCCCTCGTCTGCGGCGCGATAGTCCACGTGTCAGACTACCTCCTCGGCCCACATCCCTGGACATGTCCCTCTCGATCACCGTCTTCGCCTCAATCTCCTCATTCATCACCACCGCCGCCACCAGAAGACGCCCACGGCACGATCCACGGCGACCTAGGCATACTGACCCAACTCGTCCTCACATCCCCGCCCCTCGCCGCATCCCCGTCCCTGACATCCCGCCTCGCAGCCCTCCTAGACCTCCAGCTTCCCGACGGCGACTGGCCGGCCCCATCACCCACTTCACCTCCACCACATTCACAACCTCTTCAAAACGATGTACAACAGTCATCAGAGGTACCACCAACACAACAAGAACCCCCAGAAGCATCAGCAGCAGCAGTAGCATCATCACCACGACAACCACACGGCTTCGCCTCCGGCCCCCAAGGTCTCGTTCTCTCCCTCCTCTCCCTACGCCCCTTCTTCCCGAGCCTACACGACCGCATCGACGAGGCTGTTGAGAAGGCGCGCGAGTTTCTCTGGGCTAGGGCGGTTGATTCTGAGGGGCCGACTGAAGAGGCGAATTTATTTTACGGATCATTGAGTACCGCGTTGTAAGTTCTCTCTTCTCATTTCATCGTGTGCTATTTGGATGCGAGAAGTGGACATGGATTTTCTAGCCCCTTATTCCTCTGATGCAGAAGACGCGAGTATCAGTGAAACGTGTTCATTCCATCATGTCATTGACATCAACCTGATATCTCTCGCTCATGAGTCTTCCTCGCCTATCCTTCCCCGCCGTCTTCAAACCTCTCGTATATCTCGCAACACCGACCCTCTCATACACGTATCTAAGCCTCACATCCAAACCTCACCTCTAATCTCACTCTCATCACACCCATTTCAAACATCATCCCAATCTCATCAACCTCACTAACAACCACCCCCAGAACCTTCCCAAAAGGCCCCAAAAGAACCCACCTCCTAAACCAACAACCCCCCTCGCCAAACCAACCCCTCTCCCCGCCCACAACCACCAACACCACCACATCTCAAAACCCATCAACACCATCCACCTCGACCTCCTCCTCAACAACACCAACAGCACCACCAATAGCAGGCTCCGTGACAACCGCACCCCACCCAGGCTCCGCGTACCTCCACGCCGTGAGCGAGCGCGATATGCCTCGCATGATCTTCTACAATGACATTTGAACCTTTCATCCACTCGAAATTCTTCCACTTTCATGGTTTGGCAAAATCGAATGAGCATAAAAACTTCATCTCTGGCTTAAACTGGTACAAGTACCCCCCGTCTATACCAAGTCTTCTACACCTGGATTACAACATCATACGTCTTGGAAAAACTTACACTCACCTTGCCAATTTACTGCCACTCTTCCTTCATCAGGGAAGTATTTCACACTGTCACATATACTCTTCATCCGGTAGGAACAGGAAACCGTGGTAGGGGAGATAATTCAACTACGAAGGGGCAAACTCCTTGTATAGCTCGGACAAAAAAAAAAAAACAGAAACACAGCTTCAAAACGCGGACTTTACCAGGCGTATACAGGATACAAGATACCCCACGCATAGATTCCATCTTTCCTTGACACCAGCCTAGATACTGCTACAACAATCGTGATACCAATACTTCACTTCATTATTCCTTCACATGGAACACATCTGACGAACTCGCCCATCATGATTCTAACAAATCACAAAGTCACAAACAAAAAGTGTCATAGTCAATGGAATTCATTATTCCAAGAGCGCGTCCGCCCCCCGATCGCCAGTTGGGGACGAGACGACGGGTGTATTGGCCACCTCACACCCACCACAGCCAGAGCCACTCTCTTGACCTCATTCGCATATCTAGTCTCATCCTTCAGGCCTGAAGGATCACGGCCATCCGCAAAAAAGCAGCAAAATAAAAACTCTGACGTCCAGGACAACAATCGAAACGAGTGTAGTGAGGTCCCTCCTATTTCTCTCCCAGGCCATTTCGAGTTTTGGTTTCTTTCTTCACCCCTCGGCCATGCTGCCCCCCCAAAAAACAAAACTCGTTGCCAATGTGCCCAAGAGAAAGCCCTTCTCTCTCTCCAAGAAACCCCAAATTACGCCATGTGTCCCGTTTCCCGTGGGACTAGTGCTTCCCAGTCCATGCCTGAAAGAAAAAGCAACCTCCAAAGTGCCAAACGTAAAAATCAGGAAAAAACAAAAATGCTAGCGTTGAGAGGTGATGCGACGTCCTCGATCGATGAGCGAACCGACTTTACCGGTTACGATCATCCTGCGACGATCGACTGGCGCGGGACGACGCCCCAAAGCTACCAGACAACATCCCCAACCACCCGTCGGGCCGGGTCTGGCGTCCCCTGGGCGCGGGCGAGAGGATGCCCCCTTGCTCCACGTCCTCGTCTCTGTCTCGCGAACCTGACGCCTCGGCTTCCACCTCGTCGTCAGAGTCGTCGTGATATGGTTCATAGCGAGGGCTGGAGGGAGAGCCGCGTGCAAGAGAGCGTACAACATCACCCTTGCAGATGGGGCATGTGCGGCGGCGCGTCGTCAACCAAGGCGTGCTGCAAATATCAGTACTAATAAACATATAAAAAGAGGGGCAGATAAACTCACATGCACTCAGCGTGGAATTCGTGGCCACAAGGCAAGCTCATGACGCGGCTGACGCCGTCGACGTACTCCTCCAAGCAAACCACGCATTCGACCTGTCTGCCCATGTACTTCTTCCACTCGCTTGAGTAGCTACCGTTTGCCTTTTCATGCTCTGTCCGCAGTGGTGACCTAGGCATTTGCAGGGCCGAGTTGACAGACAGCAAGCTCTCCGACTCGGGGATGCCCGTCGTCGTTCTAGAACGAGGCCTTGGTCGGGAAGGGGTCTGCTGTAGCAGAGGCGTAGTGGGTGTTGGGCTCGTCGGTGACGGGATTCTCGGCGAGGGAACAGGTGATGCCGCGACGGTGTGGTATGTGCGGACGGGCAAACGCTCGACGACTGACTTGGGTGCCCTCCAGCGTCTTCTGCGAATGCGCGCACGGAGGATCAGCAAGGCATAGACGACGCTCAGAGTGATCAGAGGGCTGATCACAAGCACCAGCAGAGTATCGAAGAAGGGGCTGGAGCTGCTTGAAGGTGTAATCGTAACCCAGAGACCATCGTGCCCAATAGGCTCGTTGCCGCCGTCGTTGTCACCATCGTCGGGGATGGGCTCCTCGGGCCGCGGGGGATCCTTGGGCTTGTCCTCCTTGGAAAAGTCGGCGCCGTCGTCTTCTCCAAAAATCTTGGACATGATACCTCCGTGGGCTGTGGTCTCCTTCCCGGAGGTGGATCCCTCGGTCTCAACGGGCGGCAAATCAGGGTTGTACTCGCCGCTTCCAGGAGTGATGCTTCCGCCCTTGGGGCCGGTGACGTCCTTGCCAGTTTTCGCGGTGCTGCCAGGCTTGCCGACCTGCTGCTCCTTGGCCGCGCCCTCGGCCTTGTCTTTCGAGCTGGGGGCATCCACCAAGTCGGGATCGCGCCAGTCCTGGACACCGATTTGGAACGTGTCTTCGCTCTTGCGAGCGTCGGGAACCTTGCCTTTGCCCCTCTTGGCGGCCTTGCCGAGACCGTCTCGGATGACCCTGTCCTTCTCCTCGCTCCAGTCGTCAACGAGAACCCAGTTATGACGACCGCTGCTCGGGGGCTGGATGCTGTCGCCCGATCGTGAACTGCGGCCCCAGCTAAACAGCCATCGGAACAGGCTGGTGCGGGGTTTGGCCGCCTTGTGCTCGGCCTTGGCCGGCTTTCCCTTTGCGGCAGCCTTGGCCTTGGGCGTTGCCGTGGCCTTGGGGGTCGGTGTCGGCGTCGTCACCGCAGCCTTTTGCTTGTTCTTCTTGTTCTTCCGGCTCCCCGCGTCGGATTGCAGCACCTTGAGGGCTGGGCGGCCGTGCTCGTCGAGAGTGTCTTCGATGAAGCTGCCGGGTTGCGTCAGCGACGACAGCAAGTGTGCTGTGGTCCGAGTGGTGAAGACGGAGGGAATGGAGACGTTGGAGGTATCACCCCTCGCAAACATCTGGATCAAGGGACCCCCCTTTGTGTTATCGCCCACGATGAGGGCCATGGCACCACGTCGCTGCGCCCACTTGACCTTTTCCAAGAAACCGCAGCCGCCGCGACTGAGCAGCACAATCTTCCCGGCGATCTCCGCAGCCTCTTGTATCGATTGGATATCGGCGTGGGTCGACTCGGTGGACAGGGCGCTATCGTGGTTGGGCTGAGGCTTCCGGGCGAGGCCTTGGTGGAGGTAGTCGTCGGTGCCGTCGTCGGCTGGACGGATCTTGGACCTGAGGCGAGTGACGGGGACACCCACGGCGTCGGGCACGGCGTCCTTGTCGGTTTTATCGCGCTTGTGGTGACCAGGCTTGCCGGCAGCAGCAGCAGCCTTGTTGGAGGACTTGGACATGCCTTTGGTGGCAGTCTTGAGGACGGCGTTGGCCTTGCCATCGTCCCAGCCGGGGATGTCACTGCATCCCAACTCACCCTCGCCCTCGCCCTCCTGGAGGTTATCGTCGGCGAAGCCACTGCCGATCCATAATTGACCGCTCAAGCCTTTATTGGGCAGGTTGGGGCCAAAGGCAGCAGGGCGAGCGACAAAGGAAGTGCTGTTGTCATCGGTCAGACTGATGGCGGCATTTGGTTGAAAAATGGAAAAAGGCGCTGTGAAGGAGAAGAAACTCGTGAATCGTGATCGCGGTACGGCGACTGGGGCGGCGATGACGGGAGAGGAGGAGGTGGAGGAGGACCGCGCCAGTGAGGTGATGGAGCGGCAGAAGAGGAAGAGCGAAGCGGCGAAGAAGAGGACGAGAATGGCTATTCTAGGAGTACGCATGGTGGGATATCGTATCGGGTCGTTACTTAGTGAAAGGGAGAAAAGAAAGGGGCCAGAGGTCGAGGATCTGTGTCGTGAGTATGGTATCTAGAAGTGGCGGAGGGTTCGGCGCACGGCGCGGCAGCCGAGGGGGGAATCGAGTCTGGCGATAGTGGCGCCAGAAAGGGTTGTCGACGTTGGATAAGGTGAGGTATCGACCGGCAGCCGGCAGTGGCTCAGCGGCAAACTGCACAGGGGCCCGGCATGCGCGAAGTCATTCGGTGATAGAAGGCGAGGAGAGGTCGTCTGTCTGGCTGCTGTCGGTGGAAATGTCAAATGTATGACGAGGCTGAAGGAAGGTAGAGTAAAGTAGTGGCGAGGAGGGGAGGTGAAGGTACGAGAGTTGGTAGGTATCCGTAGGGCCCTCAGTTAGAGCCAGGAGGGTTGGAGGGGTGAAGGGGTTGGGCAGCAGCCTTTTCCACACAAAGACACACTCTCCGGGTCTCTCTTTCGTGTGCCGGCGGGAAGCGTCGGGCCAAAAGACGAGAGGAAACGGGACTGGTATTTCGGTGGTCGGGAAGCGACAGGAGAAAGAAAGTTGTATGATGAGGTGCCGATCAGGTTCTTCAGGTTCGGGACCGCAGTAAGGTAAGGAAGGTAACCTGAGGTAGAGTGGGAGAAGTCAATTTGATTGTGGGCGGCACGGCGGGTTGGGTGAGGTATTGGGTGTGCACGCAGCGCAGAGCAGTGCAG